CATTATTTTTCGCTGTCATATAATCCGCAATATTATGATCGACTATTAAACGTAACAATCTGTTGAGCAGTGTAAGATCTATCTTCTCGTACAGTTTCTCAAATTTAGATTCTAATAATACGTTGCACTCGCCTTCACTGACATCCCAAACATCCTGGAGATTGTTGATACCTTGACACCATTTGTAAACAAGAAGTGGCGGTGGTTCCGTATCAGCTGGTTTCACCCATGGTGGGAACAATCGCCTTTTGTCTGCCTCGTACCATAAATACTGATCTAGATAGGCATCTGTGATTTTTTCAAGTGGCTCCACATCGTACACGGGAATCAAATGACTGTAAAGATCCATAAATTCAATGCCAACTTCCTTAAAAGCTCTCTGCGTTAACAAATGTCGCTTAATTCTGGACAATGCCTCATGTGGATTATCATATGCTTGTTCTATTAAGCCCAGTTCTTCTCGTTGACTTTGATTCAGCCTAGATTTAACACTATAGGCTTCTTTCAAGCGTTCCAGAGCTAATATCAATAATTTTGTATCATGTTTGTAAGATAATGGTGGAAAAGGTATTGGCGCGAATCTTCGAGACTCTAACCAATGAACCGATGTCGTGAATATGGCTACAGCTTCTTCCGGCGATATATATGGACCATCCTTCAAATAATTGTGTTGTCGCTCCTGCTCGGCTTTCAAATACAGACGCGTTAGGCGGCCAAGATTCTTTTTACACACAGTTTTGTCTACCGTAGCTCCGCGTCGAATTCTTTCTCGATTGTAATGAGCCGTATTCGTCCACCAATCGGCTTTCATCTTGACATAACGCAGTATCATGTTTTCGATTGGAATTGGCAAACCGGGCACTTTCCATGGAATATTCGCTTTCCAACAGCGCCAAGCTTCGCTCAAATGCTGAAGAATTGTTCGCGCCTTGTTCTGTTTTATTCCCTCAGGCATCATATCGACTATATCATGCATGACAGATGCTCGTAATTCGAGATCGAAGTGTGATTCAACTCGCTGCTTCGTTACCGTCTTTGCTACGCCCTTCGAATGACGGCCCTCGAATTGTCTCGACAATAAATTACCTAGCCACCTTTCTAATAACGGAGTGATACCTCTCATAAAGAACAACCAAACACGCCAGCCAGGTGCCCAGAATCCACAGCCAGGTCCTTTACCAACTGGTCCGGTATTAAAACGATAATAAATTAAGTGCTTCAAGTCCTTACACATTCTGATCTGCCGCATCAATTTATACTTATAACGATACATGCCGGTTAATTGACCGACGTGTGCGAAAATATACTGCAGCCCATCAGCGAGTTGAAAAGCATCCACGTTATTCAGCCGATACTGAACGTGAGAATCGATAATAAGTTTAGTTAGGCGGAGAATTTCGCGACACAAATGGAAAGCGTTACCAAAACGCGATTTCTTTCTCTCCTTTGTTGTAAGCGTTTTGACAGGTTTCAAGTTAAAGTTGTAATCCAAATGAAGATAGTTGAGATTTTTCCGATGTATTAGTAGATTCAACATGTTGTATCCTTGGCGACACACCTGCAGACCAGCTTCTACCCAATCTATCGTCGTTGTTTGAAAGAACTTGGTCGATTTAAAAGAGCGGAATAAGTAGCGTTTCTTCTGAGGTTTCGGTGGTCTGTGCTTCAAAGCGTTCAAAACGAAATATTTCAACAATTTCTGATAACTGACTCGTACTTTTACAGGTTGACCAGGTGGACAATGCTCTCTGTACCATGACTTTACTAATGGAATATCAATGGCTCTTCTTGTTCTGCCGGAACGCGTATTAAACGGTCTCGGCGCCCATAAAAGGGCTATTCCATTTGCTGTATTATCAGTATAAAGAGGTATCTCCTGAAGGAATGGTTGCACTTCGCCAGGTAGAACAAAGTCTTCATCATCTTCGATTTGTGGTTCCATTGTCTGATAATAATTGAATAATATATAAAAAATTATTGTACTAATTTATATAGAATTATGCAGGCAAATCTGGATCTTCGGTCTTTATGTATACGACATTTGGTGCATGATACCTGTATAAAATATATGTATAAATATGTATAAATTAATAAATTAATAAATTAATATAATATAAAAAAATAATGTAGCAAAATATTTTTATTTTAAAAAATATGATATTGTATGTGATGTCAGCGGTTTCTTTTTATAATCTTCATAAAAGAACAAATAACAATCACTAAATTTGCTTTACCACACTGCTAGGAAGATCGTTTTATATTGATAATCAGACCTTAAAACTAGTGTGGAAATAAATTTAATAAAAAAAATTTAACCAGATATTACAGCTTACCAAGAAAGATGAACAAAGTGTGGCATATTATTGTACAAATAAGGAAATGCAATCCTATATTCTGTCCTAATAGGTTGCCTGATAATAATTTTATTTATGTCATTGAATTCATTCCAATCTTCATCAGCAGCATTTGAATCTTTTACCAGAGGCTCAAATTTTGGTCCTCCAGGGATAGCCATATTTAAGGCTTTTGCAGTAAAGAATGATTTGGGATCAAATAGATAGAAAAAATTTTGATCCACTAAATCAGTCAACAATTGATTAGCCAAACGATACAAAGTAGCCATTTGTGGTAATGTCAGATTCCATCTTCGATATGTAGATCCATTAACATGTCTGAAATATGTTTTATTATTTAGATTTTATTATATATGCAGAGAATAAATGACATTCTTAAGAATTCTTTCAGTATAGCATTTTGTCCAACTGAATAACTCATATCATCTTAATGATATCCAGTGATTCCAGTTGTCAACTCACATGTCTAGTTGATTTCAGGACCCCTACGCTTTTCATCATTAAGGAACAAATGAGTTAAAATGTACCACAAAAAAAATCCTTTTTCTTTCTTTTATAATTATTCATGTATAATGCTAATATGTGTCAACTTACTTTGTTCCAACTAATGGTTTGTGTTCATAAAACCATGATGCAACAGATTCATCTTCCTCCGAATCAAGTTCAATTTGTATAGCTTCTAAAGGTTCAACATCCAAAACATTATCCGCATAATCTAGAGGAGGCTCTTCATCATCAAAAGGTGGGAATCTCATCCTCTTAAAGTGTCTACGATCCCTTTTTTCTCGTCTCATCATAATCCACATAGTGCTGGAGAAAAAATAAAACTTTTAATATAATTTGCTAATTAAATTGAATAAAGATAAAATTTCATGTTTGCATTACCCCCATTGAGCTATATACACAGGTTCTATAACCCAAGGAATTTCATTAACAAATGTAATGGCTCCTGTAATATGATATAAGACCTTTACATCTCTTATTTGTTCCCATGGCATAGGCATATTTTCCAATAGTTTCATAACAGCATGTGGCATGTATTTTAATGCCCTGTAACAGATACATTTATAGAAAATCTGATTGTATACATTATATTTATATAATATTTATACATTTATAGAAAATCTGATTTTTAACAACAATTTACCCCAAATAAACACGTTTATCGTGTCTGTATTTTCTGCTGCTCATATCACCATGGTCTCTAATGATTTTTCTTATATGTTCAGCTGGCATGTCTTCTTTTTGAGCATCTACAAAGCCAAACTTTCTCTTTTCTGCAAATCGTTTTGACTGCAACTGCTGCCATTTTTGTGCTAGAACAATTAAAGTTGTTATAAAGAAACTATATATAAATAATCGTTAATTATTCCCAAAAATTACCTTTTTCTTGAAGTTTATCCTCAGACAATACTTCTGGTTGTTTAGGAATTTGAGGCAATGGTGGCCCAGCTATAACCTGCATATGAGCATGATGAGCGGCTTGTGCATGAGCCGCAGCCTGGGCATGCGCTTGGGCAGCTGCCAATTGAGCTTGTTGCTGGGCCATCATTGTGGCCCATGGGTTTGGACCCAGCAAATATGGTGGGATAGACATGACTTCGAATTGCTTTTGAGAGCTAAAATATAAAATATGTAAATTTCAAAAATTATATACAATGTAGATATACTTCCTTTTTATATAAAATGACTTGATAATGAATATCTCAGATTAAATCTTTGTCTTACGAAGCTACGATAATATAGATCAATTATTTTAAATATAATTTTAATTCCGGAATACAGGTAACCGCGTGCAATACAGAGCAAAGGCAGAGTGATAATATATTGCACAATTAGTCGATTAATTAAATAACGAAGTTATACGTACATTTTATCACGATGTCCGTCAATCCTTACATGACATCAATCATAATAGAATTGTTCTCTTCAATCTCTTAACAGCATTTTTACAAACAATCTCACGTAATGGCTTCTGAAACCTTTGCTGAAACCTAAGATCGGGTCTACAATAGATAATTTAAGCCTTAAGCCTTTAAGCGTCGTCTACAATGGCAATAGGATTAAAGGTGCAATTTCATTGACGCTAAAAAGTAGCGTCAACCATTGGTTGAACAAGGAAATAAGTAGTTGCTTCATTGTTTAACCAATGATTGACGCTAAAAAGTAACGTCAACCATTGAACAAAGAATTGTAGACGACGCATTATGCAATGGCCGCTTCAGCGGATTCAACCGCTAAGTAGCCATCGAATATGATTGGTCTCTACTTTCAGGTCCGACCAATCAGCGTCGAGGTACATCGGAAAATCTAGTAATGTTTCCCAACTGTTGAGTCCGCTGAATGTGGCCAATGTCGTCACATAGACTTTTATAGTTTCTAGATCGCTAGCTTCCGACAGTTTGAAGCTTCCGGCGAGAAATACACTGTCACACGATTGGCTGTCAAATAAAAATATTTTCGAGACTTAAAAATTTCCTAGCCGATAGCCAATTACATCGTGTCTGTTGTTTTCTTGCCGTCTATTTCAGAGCCAATCATGTTGCTACTAAGCATTTTTTTTCTGCTGAATGCACCTATTGTGCATTTGGATACTTCATATAAGTAAAATTTGAAGAGTTAGCAGTCTGGTATATATAAGTCTATGGTACAACTTCAAGAGAAATCTATCTCTTTTTAACAATAAGAGAGAAACAATTGAAAAAGGAGTAAAATGGGTATAGAAAGGAAAAGTAACGATATGTCCTAGAAAAACAGATGTTTATAAAGAAAGGCAAGATGAGACCGATTGAGCTTCTCTAATATAGTTTAACATTCTTATGTGTGATACATATTTTCGCGCAAGATTTACACACTACATATTTATTACGTGGAGATATCATATGTATATATTATATATATATATATGTACGCATACATATATATATGTATGATTAGGGAGTGATAAGTGATATACACGTCACACGAGTGAATTGACAGTTTAATTAATCGTGCCACGATATAAGACAGTGTGTTTTGTGTGAAAGTTGGAAAATTTTTTGGAAATTTTATAAAAAATTATGTTCCCATGATGATGTAGAAATGTAAAATTTCCATCTTAGTATTATATATCGAATTAAAATATATATTACAAGAGGTTGAAAAGGTAATTCACATTTATGTGAAATCCATTATTTTTTATAAATATAGTTAGTATTTGTTGTACGCTTTATATCGAGAAATGTCAGTTATAAGAAAGTTGAAATTTCAAGAACTTAATTATATATTAATTTGATATATATATATATATATATATATATATATATATATATATATATATTCGATTTGTTTTCTTATAAAGTTCTTGAAAAGTCTATTTTTCCGATTTATCATAGCCATTCATAAGAGGTTTGATTAAAAATTATATTGAATTTATCGAGCTTTTATAGTTGTGATTCTTTATGTTCATGATTTTTGGTTATAAACATAGTAATAATTTTAATATATGTAGATGAATAAAGATAGATATTTTTTAAATGCATCTATTTTTGCAAAGATAAAAAGATATACAAATTTCTTAACGAAGGAAATATCTAACAAAACATTTCTTTTATTAATATATTATATATAAAAAATTTTGTATCAAACATATTAAACAGTAATAATACTATTTATGTTATTACAATATTTGTTTTCTTATCATAAGAATATTAATTGATGGGATTCATAAGTCCTTTATTTTAACACTTTAATTCTGCTGTAATTTAAAATAAAATCATCAATTTGAGTAAATTTATCACATATTTAAGACTGTATAACTTTACAAATGATTTATGCAATATTGAGAATTATTATTTAGATTCTAGTTTAAATATTTAATTTTTATTTTGCATAAATATTAACAAAATTGTGACACACTCATATTTTTATCTTATAAAGAAAATATTAATTGAAGATTATGTCACAAGTATTTAATTAAAATTGTACTTTTATTTGTTATACAATATCATTAAACCATTGAATGACACCAAAAAATATATAAGATGGCAAATTTTTCAAATTTTATTTTTTATATAGTTTCAATAAAGTTATATTATTAATTGCTCTTAAAGAGCAAAATATAATTGCTTCTTTATCTTGTTCTAGATTGTAATAATTGTGATATATAGTAATATATAGTAAAGAATTGAAATTAATTAAAATTTATGAATTATACTCAAAGAATTAATATAATAAAATTTCTTTCTTCACATATAATATAATACTTTTTATAATCTTGTTAAGAATAAGGTGGAATAAAGCTAAAAAATAACATATAATTTTCAAGTAAAGTAACAGCTTATAATGGGCTTTATATGGATATCATAAATTAATAATATTTGTAGATTTTAATGAAACATGAATATGCATAGTGTATATTTTTGAACGTGATGCAATATAACATTTAATTCAACATTCCAAGAAATTTACATTTTAGAATTTTAAATATTTTATTATATAAGTATATATTTACTATTTACTGATAGTGATATATTACTTTGTTAGGAAGAGTAATAACATTGTTTTATAACTTTAAGAAATAAAATTAGTAATTCTTATATATTTATGTTGAACAGTACAATAATTTGATAACAGTACAACCTTTGGTTTAAAGCTTTTTTACTGTCTAATATTTTTTAATGATAATGTCAGATAGTTTCTCAATATTTTTTATTATATATGAGTGTTCCGCATTTATCACAGTGAATTTACAATAATAGTGAAGCTCATATTGTAACAAAGCTTGCTATCTTGTAGTTTCAAAACCATTTATAAAATATACTAATATTCTATCATAAGCATATACACAACACACACACATACACACACACACACATACACACACACACACACACACACATATATGTATATATATTTATGTTAAATTATATTTAATCTTTTAAATTTGATTTACAGATTAACTATTTAGAAAGAACTATGTTGGGTAATTATACTGCCATTCAACGTCCAAAAGAGCAAGCTCCTACTAATGGTGCTCAGAAAATTTCTGAGAAAAAAATATCCACTCCAATGGAACACAATTTAAGCCATCCACACAATGTTTCAATTCAGAATTTGGATCCAGATCATTTAACACTCTGGCAACATCCAATTACAACATTACATTATTTTTTTAGCGAAGTGTTCATTAATATACTTAGTTTAGTGAAGAAAACTTTGCTTTACAAACGAACAGTATGCACTATAATTTCAATTATGTTACTATTTCTCCTATCAGGCCGAATATCTGGTCCACAACAAGAGGTATGTGTAAGTTGTGTCATTTATAATTTTGGAGATATATTAATAGACTTATTATATTACTCCATATACAATTCTTTATTTAATTTTTTTGAAATATCAATCCGAGAATTATTTTTTTATTATAAATTTTTTATTATATATTTTATATATTTTAACACATTTTTTTAAATTCATCTAAACAAAAATTTTATTATAATGAAATATCAAGATAGATCATCATTAATTATATTACTATTTCCAATCTTTAATATATACCTTTATATTAATATATAATACATATATATTTTCATAACTAAACTTTAAATTAAAATACTGTAAAAATTTATTTAACTAAATAATTGAAAAATATGATTTGATATGAAATAAAAGTTATTTTCTCTGATTTCTCATATCTGATTATCATCATATTTGATATCTAAGCTTTACTAAAAATTGTTTACTTTTCTTATCTTTGTCACTTTTATTCTTTATCTTGCTTTTTTCATTTTGCGTTTTGCTTCAAATTAACAAGAAATTTTATAAAATTTCCTTTGAAACATAAGAAAACAATAAGTTTAAAGCACCATTTAAAAATTAAAAAAATTACAAGATTATATATACACATATAGCTATAAATCTTATTTTCAATTGTAGATTCTTTGATTTTCAATTTAGAATTAACTTTTTTTTACATATTGAGCATTTATAACTTTTAAGTTATAAATAATTAAAAAAAATAAAAGACATTAATCAGAAGAATTAATAGATAATATAATCATATTCTTCAATTAATTTTAAGTAGAATTAATTTGGTTAGAATTTTAATTAAAGCCTAAATTCTTGCCTAAATTACAAAGAAAAATATAATATACTTTATAATTATACTTAATTTATTTTAGTAAATTTAAATGACAAAATATATCTTATAAAGTATTTTTTATTTTCCTCAAAATAATCATTAATATTTTTTAGAATAATTAGTAGAGAATTGATTAATGGCAATTGTGCACTTGCAGTATTTAATTGTTTTTTCTTATTGTCATATATAAAATACTGTTATACATCAAATAAATAGAAAAGTCAATATATATAAATCATAATTTTGTTTAATGAAAATTTCTTCTATTTCCTTGGAAGATACTATATATTTTATTGTTTAATTAGAAATTTTAGTCAAAATGAAAATGTCGAAAATATTTTTTGCTGTCTTTAAGTTTGCAAGAAAAAAGCTTTAGGTGAAATTATATATGAATAAAATAAGTAAAATTATATAAAAATAAATACATAATAAATATAAGTAAAATTATGTATGTGTATACATTATAATATATATGTAATATATATGAATGTGTTTATACAAAATGTTTATGTTATCTTGATACAAAATAATTCTTTTGCTTTTTATTTCTAGATTTTTAAGTTATGGGAAGCAAAGATTATATGGTGGTTGTATTGGATAGGATTAGGTGTATTATCAAGTGTAGGTCTTGGAACAGGTCTGCATACTTTTGTGTTATATTTAGGACCACACATAGCAGCTGTTACTATGGCAGCATATGAATGTGGTACTTTGAATTTTCCTGAACCACCATATCCTGATCAGATAGTATGCCCAACAAAAATTGATCCAATGTGGGCAGTAGGTATATTAAATATTATGAAAAAAGTACGTGTAGAAGCCATGTTATGGGGAGCTGGTACTGCACTTGGCGAGTTACCACCATATTTTATGGCTAGAGCTGCAAGAATAAGTGGACAAAATAGTAAAAATGAAAATCAAGATTTAAAAGAGTTAGAAGCTTTGGAAGAATTAGAAAATGAGAAAGATGTATCATTTGTAATGCGTATCAAACTATATATGAAGCAATTTGTTGAGAAAGCTGGATTCTGGGGCATTTTAGCTTGCGCATCAGTATGTATTAAATCTGTTTGTTTTTGCAAAATTTTTATAGGTAATAATATAATATGATCTATTTTTCATATTGCATTTATCAAAATAAAATTTTACAGATTCCAAATCCACTGTTTGATCTGGCTGGTTTGACATGTGGACATTATCTCATTCCATTCTGGACATTCTTTGGTGCGACATTAATAGGAAAAGCTGTCATCAAAATGCATATACAACAATTAGCAGTAATCATAGCCTTTAATGAGGAACTTTTAGATAAATTTATTAGCTTATTAGCAATCATACCATTTGTTGGTAGAAAATTTCAAGAACCATTAAAGAAATATTTTGTTGAACAAAAACAAAAGCTACATGTTAAGTCATCTATGGTAAGTCAATTTTGTAAATTATAATAAGCAATATGTGTTGAGATCAATCTCAAAATAAACATGTTCTTGCAGGATGGAACAACAACAATATCATGGTTGTTTGACAAATTTGTAACAGTAATGGTCTGCTACTTTCTAGTGACGATTATTCACGCACTAGCACGAAATCATCATCGCAGACGAACAAAACCATCTATTGATTAAAACTTAAAAGACATAGGACGATTAGAAATAAACTTTTACCGCAACATGTAGATAAATATAAATTGTTTTTATGGCAAGAAAAATAAGATACCTAAAAATATGGGGAATATATTATAGTTTTCATTTCTGCAATTTTGATTTATGATAGAAACACATATCTCACTTATATATTACATATATATATTAAATAAGTCACGTATAGAATTCAAAGTAAATCTATTTCTTTTGCATGTATGCTTATTTTGTTATAATAATTTGTGACCATTATAAGAAAGTTTGCTGTGTGTGAATGTTTACATGTATATAGATATCTTTTTTTTCTTTTACGAAACAAGTCTTTAAACAACATTCTGTACTTCTATAATTAATTGATATTCCAAGTTTTTACATATTATATCATTAGTATAAGGATTAAATTTGAACAACTTTGTAAACAATGAAAATATACATATATGTAATCACAATAAAATTATCTAGCTAAATTTCTATAAATTTTGTATGCATATATTAATACAAAGATAAAAATTTCCAATTATCAACTCTAATTCTTTCGCATTAGCAAAAGAACTATGTAATAAATCATTAAAAAAGATAATAGATTAATAAAATATTAAATATTTTAATCAATTCATTGTAATTAAAACATGTGAATGTAAGTTTATAATAAAACTTTTATAAGATATATAGAAAATCTTCTATTTTAAAATCTGTAAAACCGAATTTTTTCCATATAAGTGAATGTAAGAAAACCTGTATCAAATTATATATTAAAGATTTAAAGATTGGTATTCGATTAATCCAAACAAAAGCTAAAATTTCTTTATTTCCTGATTGATCAAATTTCAATCTTTTCAATGTATAATTCCATCAGAAAAATCGAGAGTACAAATTTCGCGCGTACGCAGTAGCAGACGCATTGTTGCCCTCAATAACATATATTTCATTCCATAATAGCTGCAACTGTAAAATTCGTAAACCTGATTAATGTAAGCTTTTAATTTTGGCTGAATCTAAGAGCATATACCAATCAGATTCACGAATTTTATTTCTAGTATTCTCTTAATACTCGACTGTGATTGGTCAATTTCTTGAGTCTTACGCCTTACAACCTTATGCTACGGCCATGTAGAATGATTTTTATAGCACACACTTTCCATAAGCATAAGGTTTCGACCAATCGCGTTGCTCAATTTGATTACGGATGGCCAAATTGAGCAACGCGATTGGTCGAAAACTTACTGTTATGTCTTATGGAAAGTGTATGCTATAGCCTTTATCCTGTTGAACGCAGCCAATAATAAAGATATCTTATTTGTCTTCTTACGAGATCTTCTACGGGAGAAAACAGGGAAATAATAAGTTTCTAACAAACTTAATTATTAAGATTAAAACTGTAAAATAAATAAAAATAAATAAAAAAATTAAAATTAAAAATTAAAATTTTGGAATAAAATAAATTAAAATAAATTAAATAAACTTATTAATTATTTATTTGTTGCTCTACAGCCGAATTTTTCTTGGTAATCAGAACACGAATAATGTCATCGTTCTTCAATGAAGTCACTTGATCTTGTGACAGAAATTTACCCATAGTTTATCATCTAATAGTTACTTCGTCGATGATAGAGATATTTCTAGTTTAGATTCCAATCTAAACTATAGGTTTATAGTGACAGAAGAGAAATTCGAGATACAATTATTTATAATTTTCTGTGATACTTTATACAATTCAACTACAATGAATACGAAGGAAAAAGAGAAATACATCGAGGAATTTGATTTTCCATATTGCGATGAATCTTCGAAGTATGAAAAAGTTGCGAAAATTGGCCAGGGAACTTTTGGGTAAGCACAATCTGTTTTAAGGTTATGTAATAATATTAATGCTCGGTTGCACCAATATTATTTTAGTTTTAAGTAAAACTTATTTTAGTTTTAAGTAAAACTTAAATATATGTCTCTCTTTATTTACTTAGAAAAAGAAAAATAAAGATAGACATATATTTAAGTCTCGCTTAAAGCTAAAATAACGTTGGTGCAACCAGACCTAAATCCCACTTGGATTTTTTTACTAAGCATTCTCCCTTATATGAGCATATATTTTCAAAGCTATTCTTACGTCATAAGTTACAAATATGCGAGTTATAATTTTTTAATAAAATTTGTATTTTAAAATTTATTATATGTAATCAGTTAATTTTTATCAAACATCACACTTTGCCTTATTACTAGAAAGTTTAGTTAGAGCTTTGTATACAGTTATATACAGTTACTTTGTTTATTTATATAATTTGATATTTTGTTAGTAGCGCTTATATATTGAGAGCAGTGGGATTATATTTCAAAATATTTCTTAGAGTGGAGTAATATTTGATTGAATAATTAAAAAGGAATTTTTGTTTCTTTTCTTTGCATTCTATAGATTGGTCAAACAATACTCTATTTCAAGAAGTAAACTTTAGAATACAATATTGTAACTTAATCATCATCATAGGATGAATAAGTTAATTTACATCATAGAATGAATGAGTTAATTTAAATTGTTGGTATTTTTTTATGACTATTACTTATACTTTGAAGTTTATATTATTATTTGTGACATTTTGTCTATCCATGAATAAACAGTAATTGCATTGTTTTTCAGATTTTTGTAACTGAGCTTGGGCATATTATGATTAGATATACGATTATTTGGATTTTATATTATGATATATATATACATTTGCTCGCTTGAAGTACTGATTGATTTCATTTATTTTATAACCATTCTTTACTTTCTACTCTATCCTGCAAACCTGCTTAGTACTAATATAGTCTGAACTTATAAATTCTTGATTATTATCTTTTAAATTTTTTTACATAAAAATAATTTATATTTTAATAATTGATATTTTAAAAATTTATATTGATTTGAATAATAATAAATTTTAAAGAACTATAAAGAAAGATTATATATCCTTTTATTGTATTAAATATATATTAAATGTAACTTTTTTATATTTTATGTAATATATGTTTTATATTATTTAATATAATATATTTGATTGTTTTATAGGGAAGTGTTTAAAGCTAGAGACAAGAAAACAAATAAGAAGTTTGTTGCAATGAAGAAAGTACTAATGGACAATGAAAAAGAAGGGGTGAGTCTTTTTATATTATATAACATAATTCATCACAAACAATTTTTTAATGATACAAGAACTAATTATATTAGTTATAATATTCTTTCTTCATTTGAATATATTTTATTATAAAGCTCAGTGTTTTTACTCATTTATATTGATGTAATTGTTTAATGTGATTGTAGTTGTTTAATGTAAAATATATAACTGTATTTAATATTTCTTAAATAAATTTTGTAATTTATTTTACATATTATTCTCTATGTACAAGGTATAACATTTGAAGGATTAAAAGGATTTTTCTTTAAAACTTTATGTACAAGAAACGTTCCAGACAAAATTCATAGAATTTTGAGAGAAATAGAAGTTCATATCTTAAATTTCAAAGAACTCACTGAAATTTTCCAAAGTCATATAAGGATTCTTCGTATAGTCGATATAAAAGTTACGTATAAGAAGGGAATAAAAATTAAATAGTTTACAAGATACTTATATTTATTTTAATTTGACATATATATATATATATATATATATATATATATAATTTTATATGAACTATGTAATATTATGTCAAATTAAAATAAATATCTGATAAAATATTTATTTTTTATCTTACCTCAATATTTTTGTGCATAAAGTAATGAAAGGAATGTATGAATAATGTATAAAGAAAACAGTTTTCTAAAAAATATATTTTTGTAAGAAAAAATATTAAAATATTAAAAAATAATATTATTTAATATTATTTTTTAATATTTTTTCTTAAAAACGTAAATTAAATATTAATATGCAGCAAATTACATATATATAAAATTTTGTTCTAGTTCCCTATTACAGCGTTACGAGAGATAAAAATATTACAATTACTGAAACATGAGAATGTTGTTAATCTTATAGAGATTTGCAGAACACGAGGTAAATAATATACTGTTAATTGTTGATATTGGATAAACTATAAATATACAGATGTATATATTTGCGGCATTGCAACACTGTTTTATTGCTTGATATTGTATTATATAATATATGTTATGTTTAATGATATGCATATATTAATGGTATATTAAAAATATGAATTTTAATTAAAAAATAACTTTTTTCTATGATTTTGATATCTTCTGTTGTTTAAGAATAAGAAAATAAAAATAAAAAGTTGAATTTGCTAAAAGGTTAGTTTTACTTCTTCGAAATGAGCATGTGTAATAAATTAAATAAATAGTAAAAGCATTTTATTATACTCAAAATATTATCAATTTTCTTTTTTTTTTAGGTTTGTTCTTATTTAGAGAAATTGTCTTTGCTTATAGAAATAATCACATTACTAAATATATTAACATTATTTGTTGGTATTAAAAACCGATTATATTAATATAATTAAAAATTTTTTAAATTTTTATAATATATATGTTTTCAGCAACTCAATACAATCGGTATCGTTCTACCTTTTATCTAATATTCGATTTTTGTGAACACGACTTGGCTGGCTTGTTGTCAAATGTAAATGTAAAATTTAGTTTAGGAGAGATAAAAAAAGTTATGCAACAGTTATTAAATGGTCTTTATTACATACATAGTAATAAGGTAAGAAATTATATTATTATATCATTTATTAGTAACATTTATTAGTAACATTTATCATAGTAACAAATATATATTTATTATATAACAAAATAATAAAATTCTAAAATTATATATCGATAATTAATTTAATATAATTATCTTTTAATGAATTAATTTATTATAATTATAATAATAGTATATTGATACATAATAATAACAATAATAATGATAAAAATAGTGTTGATATTTATATATTATTGTCAGAATAAAAGTATAATAATGATAACAATGTATTATTTTGTATTCTAGATTTTACATAGGGATATGAAAGCTGCTAATGTTCTAATAACAAAAAATGGTGTTCTAAAATTAGCTGATTTTGGTTTGGCACGAGCATTTAGTGCAAAAAATGGCCATTCGAATCGTTATACAAACCGAGTTGTTACTCTTTGGTACCGACCGCCTGAACTTCTACTCGGTGATAGGAATTATGGACCTCCTGTAGATTTGTGGGGTGCTGGTTGTATAATGGCAGAAATGTGGACAAGGCATGTATAATAGTGTTCTTTATAAAGATATATTGCATAACTCTTATATGTGCATTGCATAATTATATAAATATACTTTTTATGAAATCTATAGGTCTCCTATAATGCAAGGTAATACTGAGCAGCAACAGCTTATATTGATCTCGCAATTATGTGGTTCAATAACGACTGAAGTTTGGCCTGGAGTTGAAAACCTAGATTTGTTTAATAAGATGGATCTTCCTAAAGGACAAAAACGAAAGGTAAAGAGTCAGCAAAACTCTTTACACACACACACACACACACACACACACACACACACAAAGGGTATAATAATATATTAACAGCGCTATAGATAAAAATCTAATCATTTAGATAGAAAGAAGAAACAATCTTTAGCAAGAACTTCAAACTCAAAATTTAAACTCTGACATAAACTTCATTTTAAACTTACAAGGAAAGAATTGCTTAAAAGACTATATTAAAATCATTCTCGATTTTGATTTTAAATATGTTAAAGATTAAGTTAAAGATAGAAAATGTACACATTCTTAGATAAATAGAAAAATTTCTTTTACTTTTGGATTTTTTAAATTAAAGAGGGATGTTTTCTGTGAATAAAAATTGGAACTAACATCACTATAAGAATTCAATTATTACAGAAAAAAAGATGAATACTATAATAAGTATTGTAAATGCTTTATAACATATGTATCAGTATCCAATGATTCACACTGATCTTTTTATCATATATTATTTTAGTTTTGATTTATATAAGTTTTTCAGTATAATAACAAGCATCTATATAAACATTTGCTAAATGCATTGTTTTTTGGTAATAATTAAAGAAGCCTTTTTTCATTTTCTTTTGCGTTTTTATTTGTATTTTATATGTATTATATTATATGAATATTCATACACACACATTTATTGTAACAGAAACATTGTGTTATATTCAATTGTATATAATTTTAGTTTTAAATATATTTATATATAAATAAATTTTTATAATTTTATTGTAATGATTTTTATTGTTATGATTTTATATAGGTGAAGGATAGATTAAAGCCATATCTGAAAGATCCTTACGCTTGCGACTTGTTGGACAAACTTTTAATTCTTGATCCTAGTAAAAGATGTGATTCTGACTCGGCGCTCAATCATGATTTTTTCTGGACTGATCCAATGCCGTGTGATCTCAGCAAAATGTTGGCACAACACACTCAGAGTATGTTTGAATATCTGGCACCGCCAAGACGACCTGGTCATATGCGTCATCCGCACCATCAAGTACCTGGAGGACCAACTAAGCCTAGTTCTAGTATGGCTGAAAGTGGATACCAAGATCGCGTTTTTTAGTGCATTTTATTCCAATATATATGTAATGTAATATATATTTTATATATGTACACGTATATAAATTTTATACCAGATTATCGCGTAGTTATAATTTTTTCCATCTTGTGTGTGACGTTTAGTATAATTTTAATCTAGTTATTAAATATATTTTGTTTTCTCTTATATGTATTATATAGAGTATTCTAAATAAAATAATAATGCTCAATAATCCATAAGTTAATGTTAAAAAAAAATAATTCAAATTAAAGTTATAGAATATAAGAAAGAAACTGAGTATGATGTTATTGCTATTTTAACGCTTTATATTTCAGTGTACATTTAAATAGATAACATATAACAATTTTTTGTTTTATGTAGGATAAAAGGCTTTCGATATAATTTTAATGAATCGAAAATTAAAAAATATAAATCAATTATTAATTTAATATTTATAGTTTCTTTGTACTTTGAATATACTATTACTTATTTTTAATCGTGTAAAGATAATTTTATTTAAAAAATTAATATTTTCATTTTTCCTCAAAAAAAAAAAGATGAACTTGTGTTCATATTTCTTTTTTAAACAATCTTTTTTTAGATCAATTGATTCTTATTTTGTACATAAAAATATTAGTGATAAAAAATAAATATTTTATAGTTTATGAAAAATTATATCAAAGTATCAAATATCTCCTAAACTATTCAACTTTGAGTCATCCTATCTTTATAAGTTTGTATGTCGAATATTATGAGAAATCAAATTTTACAAAAAAATTAATGTGATTCCTTTTGAAAAAATTAGATTTACTTTCACGTGGCTGTGAAAAATGTAGTTAAAATTAAATTAAAATTCAAGATTATTTAATTTTTTCCTTTCTTAAAATCCTAAAATTTTGTCTAAAACATTTTTTGTACAATGTCAAGTTTAGGAAAGTTTTTTGTAACATTTTATGTGACACCCTATATATTCTGCCCAATTGGAAATGGCTGTCCTCGCTTCACTTATATCATCAAAATTAATGTGTATGTGTGTGTGTGATTTAAGTAATAATATTTAATAGAAATCTGAATTTCAATTTTAAATGCGCCTTTATCTGTTTACGAGTGGATAGATCTTTAATATCGCTCAATCCATTGCCCAGTGCCAATATCAGTGAAGAAAAAATCCAGCTATTTAATACATGTTTAACTGTTCAATATAGACAATATAGATTTAGTACATACAAGAATAATTCAGAATTTATCAAAATATTATGGATGACGAGCTTGAAGATCTAATTCTATATCAGGTAAAGAAATAATATTACATAAAACTGTTTAAAAAGTAAATTTAAAAACTTTCTAAAAGATTTTATTGTGTTATATCATAATGTTGCAATATACTATTTTAGTTTAAAATTCTTTAAAATAAAGTTTTACATAAATATTTTTTATGTAATAACTTTAAATACTCCAATTTTATTAACTACCTCAATTAAGCATTCAAAATTATTCGTCTATGTTATATTAAATGCCTGGATTAAGCAAACCTGACTTAAGGAGTTACTATTCTTATATATATTTTAGGTTATAGTCTTATATTTAGTATAGATTAAACAAATGAATTCCTCTAAATTAAGAAATGTAATAAATAAATAAATTTGTAAGTTATCAGCAGATAACTTAATAGCCAATTAGCAGATAGTCAATTATTTTTTAATTGACTTATGCTGTAAGAGATGTTAGCTATCAGTCTTTAATAAGAATGTAATAATTTAATATAAATATCAAATTATTTTAATTTTAAAATCATTTATAAACGTATATAACTCAGAATATAAATTTCAAATTAAAAATTTCTTTTTTAATAACAATTTTTAAAAATTAGAAAATTAGGAATCCTTGATGAATCTTCATATATATATATATATATATATATATATATATATATATATATATATATAAATTGATCTTGTTTTTCTGGACACATTAAGATATTTCATATTAAAAATTTTCCAATACAGTAAAAAATAATTTTTTTTATTTACATTTTTCACACACATATACATATAAAAAAGTCTATGAATACATAAAAAAGAAATATGAACACAAGTTCATCTTTTTTTTTGTTTTTTTGAGGAAAAACATATACATTTTACATTAATAAACAAATATATCTATATCATTAATTTTCAGATGCATTTTATAAAAAAAGAGAGTATGTGTACATGTATATGTGTGTGAGCTTTTTTTGATATTAAATTATCTAAATCATTTAAAAATCTAAATTGTTTATAATCCACACAGACTTATACATCACACATGAAGCTTATGTCGAAGTTTGCTGTGAGCATTCCCTCCGGGTTAAATGCTGGGATTAACAGTCCACTAAGTTATCTCTATAGAATTATGCGAATTTATGCTTTGAAGCCAGAAGTGCTTGTTTGTGGCATGATTCTGGCAATTATTTTATTTTATATACAAGCTGTGGATATTTGGGCTAAAGCACTTCTAGGAAGAATTCAATATACTCTGGGACGTACCACTAAGGTATAAATGCATTCTAAGAATATATTATTTATACACACGCACTAAACATTTAAGTTAAAATAATTATAGATAAATATTTGAAGTGAAAAATATATTCTCCCTTCTTTTTTCCTATTGCATATTTCTTTGTGTAGGTATCCAAACTGCAATTCCTAGTTAATGACTCAGTGAATAATGCAGTAAAACTTAGTTGGGAATTAAAACAAGGTCACATCGCAGCATATGCTGTGCAAGGTCACAGGGCTCGGATGGAAGATCGCTTTGTAGTGAATGAAGACGTGAACAATACTGGAGTTTCTTTGTTTGCAGTATTTGATGGCCATGGTGGAGAGGTATTGATTTAGCAGATTGATTTAATTATATTATTTTTATTTTAATATCATTATTTTAATAATTTCATTTTAAAGTAGAATAAGATGAATAAAAATAAATCATAAATAAGAAAATAAATAATGGAAGATTAAAAAAAGGAATAATCCATATATATAATATTATGATCCATATATATAATATTATGATTAATAATAATTAATTATAGTAAAACTCATTTATAAGAGAACAGATCACACAAGTGACACAAGGTACATATAAAATTTCACTGAACCTAATGTAACATTATAGGACTATTCTTTTAAATTTATTGGTAATTCATCAAGAATGAGTAAAGAGAATGTGAAATAATTCATGATGATATTAAAGAATTCCAAAGTTTCAATTACATAAATAAATCAGTTGCTAGATAAAACAAGTCTCGATCGAAGTTTCAAGATTCGAACTCTTGTATAAGTGATTTATAAGAGATTTACAAGAGAAATATGGATATTTATCCAAAGAGAATATTTCTCTTATAAGTGAGATTATAATATTGATTTCTTGAAATATTAATGTAATTCTTATAAAAGAATTATATAATATGTAAAATTTTAAATCTTAAAAATAGTTTTTTGTCAGTCTCTGGAAAAAATAATATATAAAAATTGTAAATCACTTTTTTAAATTAAAATATTAAGAGCACAATTCAATTTTATTATTTTGTTTAGTTTGCAGCCAACTATGCTCGTGACAAACTTATCTCTAATATTAATAAAAAGGTTCTTGAATTGAAGAATATGCTGGCTGGCAAAGTACTTACTTTTGAGAATCAATTGACTAAAGATGAATCAGAAAAAAAGAAAGAAGACAATAAGATAGATGAAAAATCTCCAGAGCAGAAAAGAAAATCTTTTCGTAAAGTTGCAAGTACATCTTTGACAGATGATTGTATGAAAAAAACTATTGAAGTGACTGATTCAGAGTTGCTGAATAAATTGGAGAGTATAACACCGATTACAAGAAAGGTAATACAAATAAACAAAATATATAAATTTATACATCAAATAGCATCAATGATCTTTTAAGAATGTATATATAGTATATATAATGTTATATATAGTAGACTATGTTTTATTGTAATATTTACACATAATATTAACACGCTAAAATATTATAACATAGATTGACACTATTTTAGAAGTAGATAGAATATTTCTAATTTAAATGAGATAGAAATAGTTTATATTTAATTTACTTATATTTGCTCCTTGTGGCAGCCTCTTAGAGCGCCTTTGAAAAGCATGGCAGCCGACAACACTCGGCGCCTGCCAAATAATCGCATTGCGCGCTTGCGACTTAAAATCATTCTTTTGTGCAGTTAAAATAAAAATACATAAGAAAGTTATATGCATTATCCATGCTGTTATGCATAAGTTTAATTTTGTGCAATTGTACAACCGAAGAATTGAAGAGTGTTGAAAGAAAAAATGAAGAATTAGCACTGTTAAATATAATAAATAAATGTGGAAGTAAGTTAAATAAAATATGATATAGTTTAAGTATGTTGGAGAATAATTCTGTGAAAAAAATACCATTTTTTCAAACTTTTTAAGAAACGTGGTTATGACAGAAAAGTAAAAATGTGAACAGAAAGATGCAAGTTCTTGTTTCACAATATATATCATTGTTATTCTCGGCTCAGCATCCGAGCAGCTAGTAAGTACAATCGAGGCATAACCACATCATCATGATATAAGAACTCGATAAATAAAGCATATATGATGTAATTAGTGGAGTTTATAGTCCATGGTGTTTATATTCGTCGTTACATCGAAAGCACCAGGATCTTTATGATGAAAAATCTGCAACAAATAGAAATAGCAACCGATAGAATCATAACTACAAAGGATATTTTGGCCTTTGCTCCCATACAATTCAGAGCCCATTGAGTTAACTCTCGTTCAACTATAAATCCACTGAAAGAGTTTCTAATCTCGTGGAATATAAAAATAAGATGACGTAGATCGCGGAGTTATGTTTGGTAAATATTTCTACTGCTCTCAATCTGCCGCAGACATAATAATAAGAGTATGTAAACTCTGCCTTTGTTAAGAATAAAATTGGACCCGTACAGAGTACACTTAAATTAATACATTGAACGCAGATTGATCAGACACAAACTTGTGTGGCATCCGGAAACATTGTCTAGAAGAGATGAACAAATAGTCCTTTCGAGGATTAATAAAATATTAATATAAGACATTTTTATACATTTTATACATATGTATTGTAAATATAATTATTACATATATAATAATCTATATCTTCAATAAATACATCTAAAGCAAATGATTAGTTATTTGGCGATCGACAATCTTTTTTTTGTAACATGCAGAGACGCAGAGAGTGGCTCACACCTTTTATATTTTCTCGGATTTCTCGCTTTTTATATTTTTACTGTAAATAATTTTTCTTACAAGATTGTAGATTTCTTACAAATTGTATAGTTAAATTATACAATATTTGTCAAATATATGAGCTATTCTAAAATTACACAAAAATTGATAACTAAATTGTTTAATAACTATATAAGAGTCGGTAAATTAATAACTGACTAATTATATACTGTTAAAAATATGTATAATGTTATTTTACATCCAAATGACGTCATTTGATATCAAAATAATATTTAGCTTTATACTGGAATGTTCATATATTTTATAGCGCTTATTTATTTAAGATGCTTATTTATTTATGTGAGTGCATATGTATACTTATTCCGCACATCAAAAAATTTATAAAACTCAAGATGTCACATGCACGCGCGTGCATATGTGTGTATATTTATAAATTTTATAAAATCTTATATTTTTTATCATTAATTAAATATTTTTAACACTCTACATTCTATAAAATAATGTTTTGTAAAAAGAAATTAAATTTACAAATAGATAGATGTGGAAAAAATTTACAAAAATAATATTATCTTTTTTCTGTTGTGTATTATATTATTTTTATTTATAGGTCAGACCATGCAGACAAAATGAGGAGGAAGTGCCCAAAGTGGACATAATGAAATATCTTGAAGGAAATAAAATTAATTATGGCAAGCTTCTAACAGATGAAGTTCTAGCAGTTGATCGATTGTTGGTAGAATCTGCTAAAAAACATATGGATGTTGCTGGTAATTATTTTTATTTTTCTAAAAATATTCACAAAAAAATTTTCTATCTTAATACAAATATTGAATTTTTGGTATTAATTATGTTAAGCAAATATAATAAATTAGTAAAATATTTCATAGACATTAAAAAATATAAAAGTATAAAAGTATAAAATATAAAAGAAAATTCACTTACAATAATAACCATTTAAACTATGAAGAATAATGTTAATCTTTATTCATATACAAAATCTAATCATAAAATAAACAAAATATTAACTTTTGAAAACCTAAAATTTTAAAATTAAGAAAAATTCTGTTACTATTAATAATTAGAATTGATATCGTTTACTTTCTTTTTCATGTGCATTATTCTCAAATTTTAGGTACAACTGCTTTAATTGCTCTTTTGGAAGATAATAAACTAACAATAGCAAATGTTGGAGATTCTAGGGGAGTAATGTGTGATGGAAAAGGCAATGCAATTCCTTTGTCTTTCGACCACAAACCTCAACAAGTATATATTCCTTCTTATAGTCATACATATTTCATATTATCTTAATATATATGCAACATCGTTTTTCTGCATGCGTGCATGTGCGCTTGAATTAAAAACTATAACAAGAGATTTAATTATCATTATTGTTGAATGATGGACATAGTTATAAAATTCTATAATTTTAAAGATTATATTTTATTTTTGATATAAGAGAGAGAGAGAGAAAAAAATTTATTTCAAATTCAACAAAGATAGAATTAGATATAAATATTTTGTCAACTATAAATAAATCTGTATAAGATTATAAATAGATTTATGATACAAAGAATACAAAGATATACAAAATATATTATATATGCAAACATTATATGTATTATATATAGTAATCGTATATTTAAATTATTAGATTAAATTTATTTGTTCTTAGGAAAGAGAAAGGAAAAGAATAAACAAAGCTGGTGGTTTGGTAACTTTTAATGGTGTATGGAGAGTTGCTGGTATATTAGCGACTTCTCGTGCTCTAGGAGATTATCCTTTAAAAGATAAAAAACTCGTCATTGCTGATCCGGACATTTTAACGTTTGATTTGAATGATCATAATCCTATGTTTATAGTACTGGCATCCGATGGCTTATGGGATACGTTTTCGAATGAAGAAGCTGTAGCTTTTATTAAAGAGCGTATCAATGAACCACATTTTGGCGCGAAAAGTATTACACTGCAGAGTTTTTACAGGTAAGATATGATTTTATATACAAATCAAGAAGAATTATCTCACTATAGTGTTTATTCACAGATTTATTATGTCATATTTATTATATTCATAATTAAAAAATTAAGAATATACCAAAAAAATATAGAAAGTATAACATCAAATACATATATAATTAAACAAAGAATTATTAAGACTAGAATAATAACAATTAACCAATCTCTATAATCCATAAATTATCAAATTTGATTAAAAAATAAGAGTATAATCCATGTACTATATAATCTATTTATGTCATTTATGTTTTGTAGAGGGTCTGCAGATAATATTACAGTCGTTGTGATTAATTTGAAGGATCGCAAATACAGCATATCAGAGGCTAAGAAGAACCAATTATAATTTTTACAATGAATATATTTTTTCATTGTAAAATTACAAAGATCTAGTCATCAAATTTATCTAATTTGTTGCATCTTAATTAATTTATTACAACTCTAACACTGCAAGCATTGGCATAAATCAATAGAATATTATTGAATATATTGAAAATTTTTTCATAATTTCTATTTTTCAATATTTCGATTTTTTAAGAATTATTTTTTAAGAATTTATTTTTTGAGTATATTTGTGTAATCATTTTTATCTTTTATTTTGTTAACTATTTATATTAGAAATTTTTTAACATAAAATTAAATATGTTTAAATCTGTGTAATAAATTTAAAAAACTACTATTTCGAATTGCATGAATTGGCAATATTGTTCATTATGAGTAAATATAATACATGGAATTCTGTACACATACATATATTACATTCTTATATATGTATGTCTCAAAAAAAGTGCCAATTATAATTAGTTTTGCCTTTTAAATGCGTGAATATGGAAAGCTTTGTATAAGTATTGAAAAATTTAGAATACACACATTGTAAATACTATGTATTCAGAAAAAGAAAGATGAAAGAAGAAAAAAAAAGAGGAACAGAAAAATAGATGAAAAGAAGAAGAAATAAAAAGAAGAAGGAAAGAAAAAAAGAGGAAAGAGAGCAAAAAAACAGAGAAAAAAGAAATGAGAAAGAAGAAGAAATTTGAAAAGGTATTTGAATATCAGAAATTTTTTTATTGTTAATAAAAAATGTTTTAGGAAAATGAATTGTTTGATGCAAATATCTTGGCAACTAAATTAAATGTAACATATTCTTCTATAATATTTTTTATATATAATTTTAAAAAACAATAAAGGAGAGTTTTAAAAAAATCTCAAGCGTAAGAATATTAGCGATTTTGTTGTTTATCGTTTATTAATATATATATGTCCAATTCGGTAATATAATCTATACAATTAATGATTTGCAACTGTAAGAATAACGAGCACGATCGCTAAATTTATGTTTGATATTTTTTTAAGAGAACATTTAAAAAATAAGATTTATATCTTATATTTTAAATGTCCTGTTTATGATAACATACAGAAAGTTCTAATATTTGAAAATGTGCGATAAAGAATTATATATGTATCATAAATCTATTTTGATAATAATAGGAAAAAGATGAAAATATGAAATAGAACACTAATATAAAATAAAATAAGAAATATGCCTATGACATGTATTATACTTCGCTGCCTAAATAAATATTTTAAAAGAAGAGATAGTACATTTTTTTAGGAAGTACACAATTTTTCTCTGATTTTAGAAATTTGAACTAAACTTCTACACGTGTATATATATATAAAGTGGAATCATTTTTCACTATTTTAAATGTTTTAATTCTGTAACCGTAAGGATAAAAACGTAAGAATTAGCCAATAAATGATATAGAATAATTTAACTAATTACAGAATATTCATAAGGTAATTTTAACCATTTGTCACAAGATTCAAATTTGTAATTTTAGCCATATAGCAGTTTAGTATAAAGGTGCCTCTACATGGCAGCATCAAACGTCGAACGTCTGCGCAGAAAACCATACCGGTACCATTGCGCAGATTCAGAATCTTAAGGTGTTCAAAGTAATCATACAGCTCTTTTTACTTTAAATATTCAATAAAAAATTATTTAATTATTATCTTTATCTATTTGTTTAATTATTATACTTATATATTTTTTTAATAGTTACTTTTCGAACACTATATATATACATATATATATATCAGAGAGAAGACTGCCATCTCTCAGTCTTTTATCTGCGTCTATCTACGCATGGTCGTCGTACAAGATTTTCAATATCATTTTAAAGGTTACTTTTCGACATTTATCCCAATTATGAACTTGAAGTAAAGCCAAATAGATCGAATTGTATGTGGAACTGTGATTATATAAAAAAAGGAAGAACTAAATATTTTGAAAACCATATATGTAAACAATTTTATTACAAAGACAGATAGAATAATGTAATATAAATACAAGTTATACAATTTAATAAATACGATATCTTTCGAGTTAAAAGCACTATCAAAATCTAAAAGGATAATTTAAGATTTATAAGGAAGAATGAAGATGTAAAAAGGAAAAGAGGAGAACTAAAAATCTAAGAGAACTTTGCTATGAAATCCTAAAGTCCTATCTTTATGAACGGAAATCTATAAAAGAAAAATTTTTTTATGTGATAAACTAAATAAACTACGCATATATACATTGATTATACATTGATTTTTGATAGTCTTTCTTCTGTATTTTAAACATATAATAAAAAATGCTATTGAATCTCTCATAAGATTGTTATTCAAATAAGAAAATAAAATAAGTTTAATGCATTATACAACATTTCTAAAAGAAATAAATAATGTCAAAACAAACAGGAGTACTAGAATTGGATAAGTGCATTTTGTCTCGATTATGGTATACATCTTTAAATGTTTTTCAAATAAATAATGACAATAATGTCTTGAAAGAATTTTATCACAGTTGTTGCATTGATTTGGCAGAATTAAAAACTGTTGTTGAAAACTTGATGTGAGTAAATATTCTTTATTGCTTACATTTTATGTCATTTTTTTATTTCTTTTTACATTTGACGATGCACATTTATAGACATTCTGCTAATGAAGAGCAATACCAATGGATTGCCTATATATTGCTATGGAGAGTCATGGATAACAAATCGTCTAATATTAATTGTGATATACAGCGTAATATTCAAATACAATTTGATTGTATACAAATAAAGAATGCCATAGAGCTGTGTGATAATATATCAGCTTATCCATTAAAGGTATTTTTATTAGCAAAATTTATCTCCTCCGTTATTTTATGTTGTTCTTATTTCTAAAGAAGAATTTTATTTTGCAGGAGTTTGTGATATTTTTTCAGAATATAAACATAGATTGTAATGAAAAAGAAACTTTAAACACTATATCCAAACAGATTTTCACATTCCTAAAGGAGAATATACATTTTAATCCAGAAATTGTATGTTGGATTATAAAGAAATTAATATCCATAGTTCCATCTACATGCAATATTGTTAGCAATTTACAAGATATTTATTTTTTTACACTGAAATCATGCTTAGAACACATTCCAGTAAAAAAAAATTGGTATCTAAGTCATAGAACAATTGAATCTTGTTCTCAAGAAACAGATTCAATCACTAATGAAAATTTTTTAAAAATTATTCTATGTATACTATCAAAAATGGATATAGATACAAATGCAGAAATTGAATTTTTAAAGACAATTTATCCTACGCTTTCAAAAGCACATCATGTTAAAGATATTGAACTTGCATTATATTCAAGAAAAGATGATAAACTATTCAAAGAATGGCTCTTACTTTGGAATGAAACACATGCATATTCTGAAAGTGCCAATATTTTATTTATAGCATATAAAATCAGTGAAAGTATGTTTAAATTAACAAAAAATTTTAAAATACTTTTATGTGAACAAGAATTACTTAAAAGAATAAATACAAGGAAATTGCATTGGTTAAATGATATTTTGGTAAGTTTTATATATTTTAAGCTTTAATTAATTTATTATTTTAATTGATTAACAATTAAATAGTAAAATATATTTAAATAGTAAAATATATTTAAATAGTAAATATATTTAAAATAGTAAAATATATTTATTTACAATATATATTTAACAATTTTATTTTTTATAAGACAGTATTATTTTATAAGAAATTTATATGTTGCAGGACATATGTTATATTTTAACTATGGAAAGAAAATATAATGAAGTCGAATTATTGCTCTCGTGTGATTTGCTAAAAAAATTGTATTCAATTTTATTATTGAAAGTATTAAATGATTGTCCGCAAGAAGAAATTAACTCACTTGAAAATTGTGATAATGGTATCTTTATGTGTGAATCTATCGAGTTTTTCTTAGAGAAATGTTATTCTGATTTACACAATGATTATGATTTAAATGAATTGCATATAGTCTTAAAAAATTACATTGAGATTGTGAAATATATTTTACATTGGAAAAGAAAATATTTTATGAAAACGAGATTAAACATCAAGGAATTCCAAAGTTTCCAATCTGATATATCTGAACATATGATATCTGTAAAACAGATTTTTGCTCTTTTGCAAAAACATAATGTGCTTTCTGTCTTGAAGATAACAACAAATATACACGATCAAGATCACAATACAATTAAAAATTTATTGGAAAAGTCTGGCCAGTCTGAAACTTTTCAAGCATATTGTTGCATAATAAGCGCCCTGAAAACTATTTTGTTATGTGAGTTTTATAGTACAGAACATAAACAGATTGCTAAATACTTCACTGATATGACATCATATTTATCTTCTTTGTTTCCTCTGTCATTGAGAATTCAAATAATAGAGAATATATTTTCTTTATTATTTTTGCGTTATGAAAATTTTAATGTTACAAATGTCAAAGATGATAATTGCAATACGTCACTTGAAAGAACGGATATTGGCAAATGTGTAGAATATGAGAAGACAGGCTTTGTAGCTAACAAATATATTATAAGAGACATGCTGCATTATTTATGGGATAGTACTTTAGTTGCAACACAAGAAATTGATAGACTACAAACACTTGGATTGGAAGAGGCACAACAGCTTCGTGAAAATATATCCATCCTTACAACAACATTAATGGATGCTAAATGGAAATTGAAATTTTATATGAAATCTCATTTTATTGTAAATATTGGTATTTTACAAGACGAATCCGATAGTTTTACAAATAAATTAGAACCTGTAATGTCTGACAAATTAAATTTTCCACATCACATTAAGGAAGACACATTCTTTTATAAAGATGACAATACTTCAGATGAAACTAAAATTAAATCTGATAGCAGTTCAGAGTCTGGTTTATTGGGCAGCAATAGACGCAGAAAACGTTCCAAAATTAATACAGCAACAGCAGATTTTGTAGCAATAAAAAAGGAATCATCCTTTATAAATTTAATGCTAGCCTCTAAAGAAAGTTTGGTTTTGCACTGTTTATGGAGAAGCGATTTTCAGAAGGCACGGGAAATAATTGAGGTAATATTACTTTGTGTAATAATATATATCATATAGTTTTATATTTTCTTTTTATACAAATTAAGAATCTAAATTCAGTAAACATCTGAGTAGTTGATTGAGAAAAAGAGAGCAAGATTCATGCTTCCGAGAATAATTCATATTGAATAACTAATAAAATGGATAACTCTCTAACATTTAATAAATATTAATGTATTTATAAATTTCTTATTGCAGTTTCGAATGTTTCATATGTATTATATTCATATTCAGTAGCTTCATATTTAATAGGCTCTTTCATATCTTTTTTCTTTTTTAAATCTTTTACAAAAGTGCCAGGTGGATTCATTATATAATATTGTTTTGCAAATGCAATTCTTTTTTGTGGAAAACAAAATTTACAACGAAAACAACAGCAGCACCATCCTGAAGGGATGGAAGTATATTATTTATATCTCCATAATAATTTTTTCAAGAGAAAACTATAGTTGATGAAATTACCTCTTTGACACCAACAAGGAATTGCTAAACAAATATAAATTAATAGCCAAATTTTGAGAACTAGCCATGTCCTTGACAAAATTCTCTTCACATGTGTTATATCTTTTACGCGCTGATAATCATATAAAAGGCATTCTAATGCCTTAATTCCAATCTGACTTAGATCTTCCTTTGTACAGTTCTTGAATTTTTTCAAATTCATTATTCTTTTCAATGTTTCTTTTGGAGTATCTTCCAATTCTTTCTTCTCAGTATAATTAAATATCTTCCCATATTTTATGTTGTATTCTAGCTGTTGTTCGTATTCCATTTTGAATTGTTTATAATCGTACGATTTTTCATCGGGACTTTCGGTATCTGCAAGAGTAGATGTCTCTTTCAGAATTAAAGATTGATCTAGAATATTTTCACTTGTAATTTTTTGATCATATTCATACATGTCATATTGCATATCCATCTCTTGCGTTTTCTCAAAATATTCAGTTGTTTCTGTCTCAGTTACAATATCTCTATGTTTCATAACTTCGAAAAAATCCATTTCTTTATCTAATGTCGTCTCATAATGGTTCACTATCTCTTCACGTTTTATTCTAACATTTTTTATATTTTGTATACTTTTATCTATTAATTTAGTAAAAAAAAAGAAATATATATATATATATATATATATATATATATATTTATTTATTTATTTATTCTATCATCTATTTTATCTTTATTTATTGATATAAGCGATTTAGGATTAATATAAGCATTAAAAATATACCTGTAACAGTTATGTAGTTTTGTAATCTTTCTAAATTTTGTATACTTCTCTTATTGTTTTGAAAACCTGTATTGTTAATTGTCTTAATTGGTGTTGTATAGGCAATTGTCGTCTGTTTTACAATCTTGAGAAAAGAGAAAAAGAAATTCTTTAGTTTGAAAGCATAGATTTTGAGGCTAATATATAATAATTTTGTGGAAATATATTTAAATCAGTAAGACAGTTTACTTTATCTAATTCATGCTTGAAACCAGCAATAAATGGCTTATCTTCTTGCAAATTAAATATTTCTTCTGCATATGGTTGCATATAGAAAAATATATTTGAATACTTCTTTTCATTTCCAGCATTATGTTCATTGTAATATTTTACATGAGAATGTAATGATTTGTATCTTTTTTCATCTTCTGCGAGAGGTTTCAAATCTATAAGATCTGCTGATTGAATCATTTCATTTTCACTCTCTTCATCATAATTCATAACATCTAATGCAATGTCAAAAACTTTTGCATCTTGTACATCAACCTATAATAGAATAATTTTTTATTATATACATGTAACCTTAATCAAAATATTATAATATATCAATTATAAAATACAAAAAATTTGCTTCAGTATTTAACTGTATGAGAAAGTGCTTGAAAGATACAAATCTTGATTATTAGTAGAAACACAATTGTCTTTTGATAAGACATTTTAAGTTTCTCATAACATCATTCACAAACATGTTATGTTCCTTAGATATTCCATATAGAAAATACACAAGTAGACGGCGAGATTCGATTTTCAGAAGCTTTTTACACATTTAAGCAGGATATATCTAAATATATTGATACTTCAGATACAATAGACTTTTCTAAAAAAAATTTAGGAACTTCTACATTAGAGGTAAGATTCTATATACATATATTTTTGTTGGCTTAGTATTAGATATAATATAATATTGAAATATATTTCCAGAACATAAGATTGATTACACAAGAAGCTGTACAGTCTTCCAAGCACATCAAGCAGCTCGAGACATTTCTAGCATCTCAGGAATTACATTTACGAATGTTAAATACGGATCTTTTAACTAGCAAGAAAATGTTAACTTTTAGCGTGCTTGACTTGAGCTTGACTATCGGCGAAACCTATCAGATCTCGAGTAATCTTTGCGACGTGGCCATGAAATATTTAAAATCATACGAAACGTTTGACGGCATAGAATATGCGAATTTCTTTTTAAAAATTTATCAATTGTTTTATGACAGAAAGAATAATATGTCCGTGACAAATATACTGTGTGACGCCAAAAATCCGTTGTGCATAAAAGACTGGAAAGAAAGAAACGACATTTGGAGTGAATTTGGGAATAATTATCGTTTATTTTGCAATCTTGAAAGAACTGGGAGTGTTGCGACGCAATATCGTGACAATAATAATTATGTTTTAGGATTAAAAACGATAAGAAAGATATCTGATATTTTTAACAATGATAAAAAATATTTTCAAAATATCTATTCTTATCTGCAGCTTGTATGCACTATTATTCCAAACATCGGTAAGTTTGTGTTCTTGTTCTCGTTTATTTTAAATTAATTTATATCTATTAAACTAATTATAAAAATATATTCAGATTATTGTCTTGTGTATTATATTAATCTATTTTTGTATATTTATTTATTATGTTTTTAGATGATGCTAACATAGTGACAGTGTTTGATTTATTAAAGACACCATTGTATTGTTATTTTGGATATCAGATATTCGACTTGAAGATAGAACCGGACAAGCTTGAAACAATTGCTTCTAATTTGCAAGTGAATTTAATATACAGTATTCTTATAAATGCATGTCCGAAAATTTCGTATTGTAATAAAAAAAATTATTACAATAATGTTAGAGATTCCGGATGCATTATATTAAATCAGAAACGAGAGGTTTCGGTATGCAAATTGATTAAATATATATAAATTATGTCAAAGTTAAACAATCAAACTTGGTCAGTATGTTATAAGAGTTGGAATAAAAAAATGTATATAGGTCCACAAACGCTTTAAAATTTAAATATTATAATATAACGAAGATATCAAATATGAATAACAAATTTGATCGTTTAACTTTAAAACATCTTGTATATGTAATTTTTTGTATTAACTACCAATATATAATAATATAGTATCATTTAATATAGTATCAATATCAGCTCATCTTTACAGAATGTAAAAAATGTCATGGAGCCAAACCAATGCATTTCAGAAATATTGACAGAACTTCTGCAGGTTCTCTATGATGTAAGTTCGGAACGATCTCGTCTGGACAATTCGTGCTTAAGAAATATTTCTAATCATATGGCCGTGCGAGCAGTGTTAAATAAAACGTCAAGTCTCGCCAATCTCGATCTTAGTGAATTGTCTGTAGGAAATGAGACGCTGACGTTTTTCTTGAATGTTTGGAATGTTATGTTCCTTCATGCAAATCTGGATGTGTGGTCTAACGATCCGCCTTTTGACAGCTTAAGGCGTACAGTGTCTTTGATGTCAATCGGCTATATGATTGGTGATCTAGGTCTGGTAACACTCGCCACTCTCAGATCAAAACTATTGGGCTACCATGCAAATGATTTGAAGTTCTTAATGTCAGTCGAGGAACTCAATGAATTAGCATGGCAGGATTTGGATCTTGTACAGAATCCGAGAGTTATCTTCGCTATGGCTAACGAGCTTTATGGCACACCTGAAATTCGTGTAAGCTACGCTCGATTAATTATTACGGATAAGTACGGATGAACATGATCAATATGTTCGACGTTGTAGGTGTACGAGGCTGAGAAGTTAGATACAAACTTGAACGATGCGATGCGTGATTATGTTTCATATTACTCGTCAGCTGTGTTATTTGATGATAATGATTTGACGAATAATCCGACAATGAAACGGAAAATCAGCTTTATTGATATTACCCAACAATATCATCACTACGCAAATATTGATATCAATATTAAGAATCTCTTGCCGACAGATGGATTTAAAATATTAAACAAAAATATAGATTACATCGCATGCGATTATACATATGAAGTAGTATTAAAATATTCTGAACATGATATATCTAGGATCAGAACTACAAATACCATGGAACCATCACTTTGGCAAATTCGGATGCTAAGACCTAGCTTACTGCAATACCTGGAACGCCATTGTTGGCTACTCTCTTATCTTGTACAGAGGATGCATAATGAAAATTCGACTATTTTGGAGAACAATTATGACAATATAAAATGCACTGTGTGTCTCGAGAATCTTTTAAATTCTTCGTGGATTGATAAATTAAAATTATTATTTGACAATAATCAAACTCTCACCGCTATTCACGACAGCATATCCGTGCATAAATTGTGGCGTTATTTTGATCATAAAAGAGATCATAATATGCAAAATTCTTTAGAGATTTTAAATGCTTTAGCTGACAGCGTCATAAAACATGATACGGAATTGCAACGCTTCAAGGATTTAATTCTAAGTCATATACTCTCCAATTCGGATGTTTTATCTGTCATGAATATGTTGCAATATTTATATCAAATCAAAGATATACATATATTAGTGCAGACAACATTGCATAATGTCAACAAATGGTCCATAAATGTATGTGAGCATGCGTTATATCATGCATTACAACATGAGCACAATTACAAATTACCGGCATATTGTAAGCGTCGAATAAACAACATCTTGCACAAAATAGCAATTTTTCATAAAATGATTCCATATTGTGCAAGCAAGTCCAACAGTACATGGTACGATATCATGTACTGTACAGAAAAAATTAATTCATTTGAGATTATCAAATCTTTGATTTATACAGATCAATTCGAATTGTGCTTGGAGTGGCTAGAATGTCAAGCGTTCTCCTTAAAGATACAATCTCCTATGATTCAAGATTTTTTGATAGGTCTTTTAAAAAACAAGCAACAAGACTTTCAGCAAGCTTTAAAGGTATGCTAGAATTTGACTTACAAAAACTATCTATATAGACATTTCTGAAAAAATTTTTATCAATGTTTCAATAATGAATGCTAATACTTCGATATTTTAGTTTCTTCAGACATTACCGTTGAGCCAATCGGTAAAGATATGCAAAGGAATTCTCAAAAGATTAGAATCCATTAGCGCGTTGCAATTTGTCACTAACTATTTACTGGAATATTCCAAAGTAACAGATCAATCCAAATATAAACAAATTTTAATCAGTCTGGAAATTTTGAAAATGTTGGAAAATAAAGACAGAACACTATATATTCATCTGATAAAGGAACCATTATTAATACTGGAACAATTATTAATGAATTGCAAAATTGAAAGTATTCAAAAGATTCTAAACATGTTACATGGAAATTTACAGCATGTTGACATAGATATGGGTAATTTCGATAAAATTATAAGATTCTATGCCAGAAAATCGTTAGATCTTCGTGTATCCGTTCAACGTGATGGCATCGAAAGTAAAACCAAGAATATTCCACAATCTAATGTAGAAGCTGAAAATAATGAATTTATTATGCCTGTTAATGTGCCCACGAAAGAGGAATGGGTACCTAATGATAAGGTAATTTTCAAAAACATTCAATACAAAAGATGAATGTTCTTTTAATCAGTTTACATGTGTATCAAATTTCTTAAGATTATCTAAATCCTATATCTTTCAATTATTATATTTATAAAATAAAGTGTTTGTTTTTTTTAATAGGCAAGAGAATGCAGTTGCTGCAAAGCTGTAATATTTTCCATGTTCAACAGACGACACCATTGTCGGCGGTGCGGTCGTGTTGTTTGCGCCATGTGTTCTCAACATCGCATGCAAGTTGCTGGTTACCCCAGTTCCGTATTCGTACGTATATGCGATGATTGCAAACGTCAAACAGTATTGCAGATGCATGCGACGCAAAGTGTCTCGTCGACATCTAACAGTGAAATGTTTGATTGTTGGCGATTGACGAAAGATGAGAGGCACAATCGCACTATAAGGGAGGAGTTCTCGTTCGAGTATGCGCCAAATATTTCATTGTGTCTCGCTATCCTTAACTTGCATTCTGATCACAAGATGTATACCAGGTAAATTTAAATTTTCCAAGTTTTTCTTAATACAGTATTATATAATATAGAGAAATTCTACTTAATAAAAGAAGTATAACAGAAATAAGATAATTTAACTTATAGCAATATTTATAATATTGATTTTAATTTATAAAAAAAGGAAAAGTAAAAAGATTTATTAATTTTTACTGTATATACAGCTTCTTACTAGATCGTTGCGATGAAATGAAGCAATTGCTCCTACCCGTTAGCGGCAGAATAAATCCTGAAGTTGATCATGCAGTGATTATTAAAATGATACGTTCTCTATTGGTCGCAGCTAAAGTGAAGTGTGCGAAACTTGGTTTTAATACTGGTCTTACACACTGCGATCGATTTCTTTCGCAAGTGGACCTTATCACAACTCTAATCCAATCCGATTGTTTGGCTCTGATACCTACGGATGATCTAGACGAGCACACGTTGAGAAAATTACGTGATCTTCTCACTGAAAAGGAACAATGGACATTAGCATTGGATGTTAGTACAAAAGCGGGACTAGACACACAGGGGGTATGGGCCGCGTGGGGTAAAGCTTGTTTGAAGATAGGTTATTTAGATCAGGCGAGAGAGAAATTTCATCATTGCCTCGACAAAATCGTATACGAGGATTTTGACGATTGGGTCGTGCTATCTTATTCCAAAGAATTCGAAAAACACAGAAGAGAATCAACGGAAAGCAACACAACTGTGGTGAAGAACAATAAAATTTTGGATGAGAAAAAAAAAGAGGGTGATGATTATTGGAAGAGAAAAGAATACTCCAAGTGCCTCCGGCCTCTAAAGGATCCACCATTATTGACGGAACTTCTACAAATATTAGATAATTTAAGCGTACATCGATTTCGAATACAACAGTCGTCTCAATCTACATCCGATGTAACGCAGGAAATTTTTCATACACTTAACAATCTCAAAGCTCTTACCCAAAATCAATTTAATACTAAATATCTGACTCCTGTTAATCTAACAGTTTACTACCAAGAAAGTTTATATTATCTATTGACATATGGAAGCTACAGTTCCATCTTACAATTCTTTTTGAAGCATAAAGAATTTGATAAATGCCTGGTATATATTTTGGAAAACGATATAGAATGTGATTTATTTCTTAATGGAGTTTATTTATATTGTTTGAAGAATGGCGACACTGATAAACTTCATGATGCAATGAAGGCAAAAGATTCCACCCTATTCATTTGGAAAAAGTATTTAATATTTGTCTGCCATTTCATGGAGAGAAAACAATATTGGAATATTTTATATCAGATACAGCTCTTTATGAAAGACTGTATAAGAGCGTCCATGACATGCATTCATTTTTATACCAGCGAAATAAATTCCTATCTAGATTTGCATAACAGGGCACACTTTTTGCAAGATGCGCAAAAACATTTAGAATCAGAATTGCAAATCGAAAGCTTAAGTAAAAAAAGAAAGGGCACGAATTTTGCTCATAGCAGTCAAAGTATTCTAACAATGGAGATGGAACCATCGGAAATAGATAGACATATAAACACTATATGCAGACAGATGGAAATCACAAAATTTTTAGCAAATTGTGAAAGAGAAAACAGAGCACCGACGGAATTTTTAAACCTCTTCCCGAACATTGATAGCGACGAATCTCAAACATTTGAATTGCCTACGTTGTTTGGCAATCAGCAACAGAAAATCCATTTGGCTGTTCTAGCTATATTATGTGGTCGTGATATCGAAGAAGGATTCGGTATAGCCTTTAGGATAATACAAGGTAACAATATAATATGAATGCAATATAATAGTTTCTATGCACATCCTGTATGATTTACATTAAAATTAAATAAATAGAAAATGTAACATAAAATATATTAAAATTAAATTAATCATTTGTTCATATTGTATTTTTATAGATTATAATCTGCCACAACAGAAAATATATTCTTTAGCTGGCCATGTATTGACCCTAAAAAATGACATAACCGCGATCGAGCAATTGATCAAATGCTGTCGCAGCTCTGGAACACCTAATGCACATGTAATTTCTGATCATGTTTTGACACATTGTATGAAATTACTATCGAATCGTTTATACAGTGAACAGAATCCGGTTCTTAAAAATCATATAGATACTTTAATCAAGTTAATAATTGACGTAAAACTTAGGGTGAGTTAATTATAATTTTTTAAATGTTAATAAAAGATATTTTCAATATATTATTTATATATATATCTTACAATGATGTTTCTTTTTAGATAAATGCATACATTGAAAGCAAGCAATTAAAGGCTGCATATCTTCTTGCTGTTAAACATTCTAGAACACAAGATATAAAAAGAATTTTAAAAGAATCAGATAGACTTGGTCAAAATGCAATTAAAACAATATGCCTTAAATGGCTACAACAAGAACCAAAGAAATAAGTTTGCAGATTTATATTTTGAAAAAGAATTGAGAACGCGAGATAATATAATTTCAAGACTGAAATAATGCTAAATTATCTTTAAGATATTTTATAAATAATATTTAAGACTTTTTTGTGTCCCTATTACAACTATATTGAGTTATAACTTTGAAAAAGGGAATTTGAGTTTTTTTCTTGCAAAGTAGATCAAAATAAATGAGTTTTTTTTTAAACTCATATATTTTTCTAGCAAATATTTTATTCTTATCGTAAAATGTTAAAATTATGTTGTTACATTTTTAAACTGTATAAATGAAACATATTTGATAAGCTATATTTCAGATATATTATTATAGATTATGCATTGACATGTTAACCATAATTTACGTTATTTACGAGTAAACGTAAACTATTATATTTTACGTCCAATCTTGGTTTATGTTATGTATGGTTTAAGCATGATAATTTTTAAAATTTACGATGTTAAGAAAAATTAACAAAAGGTTCAATAAACTTTCAATACTGATTTTCATATTGATTAAAAAATATATAAATGACACATATATGTTTATATTATATATTAATACTATTTTACAATATAACACTTAACTACATAACTTTTTTGCATTCTGACAATTTATAATAGTTTATACAGTACCTATATTTATCTGAAAAAAAATTATGTAAACATCATGCAGATGATAATTAATAATTCATGTAAACGTAACTTTGAAATTTATAACAACCAATTTAAATTTAAATGTATTTTACAAGATAGAATATATCTTTTTTTTACTTCTGACGTCATAATTCAGAACATAAATAAGAAATTAGAAGTCTGAGAGAAAAATATTTATTCTATAAATTAAAACGATTTTTTGTTCCTATGATAATATTCTTGTATGTATTGTGTATCATATTTTCTACATTTAAAGAATGCAAATATGTATTTTTTATAATTCTAAAAGAAAAAGAGAAAGATTATAGAAATTGTCTTTCTTAGTATTTTAAAAATTGAAGTTTATTATTAAATTTTCTCTTCTGAGGAACATGTAATTTACATTTAAAATGAGTCTAAATATAGCAAATATTCCATTGGAGAATTACACGTTTTATTATCATTAAACATTGTTGAAATACATTATATAATTATGACATATATATCACTATATAATTACTGTATATCACTATATATCATTATATATTAATATCATTATATAATTACTATTATATTATGATAATATAATCATTAAGATTTATACACAATATTCATTACGTCCTTAAAAATTAATTACATATTAAATCTAAAATCCTTAATATTTTTATTTAGTTGGATGTTATTTTTGGATAAAAAATTTAAATGGAACAAATAAAATAATAATATAGATGAAGTTTGATTATACAATGATATTTAAATACAGTGTATATAAAATACAAAATGTATATAAAATGCAAATAGAGGAATGTACAATGTGCAATATACGTATTTCTCACTCTAAAATAAGAAAAGTAAATAAATAAGAATGGCTATTAGGAACTGAGTGCATTAAAGATGTACAGAAATATTTATTTTTGACACAAGATTTTACTCTGTGCAATTATTACATAAATATTTTTGCAGATTTTTAATAGTGTTCAATTCCTAATAGTCATTCTTTATCTTACTTATTTAAGAAGAGTAAAATTTACCAAATATATTTGTACAATTATCTTACGTATTTCATAAATTTCTCTTAATTTAATATATTAGTTGCAGTCAAAATTCCATTATTTTCAATATTGAGTTTTAAATATTTTTTATGTCAATGATCAGATTTTGTTATTGTAGAAGTGACAAATTAATTTTTGACACATATAAGAAATGAATATAAAACAGTGGAAAATTAAGTTAATGAAGTTGATGTGTATGAATAATATCAGAATTTTATTTATGTCACTTCTATATATCAATAATTATGCAAAGTATACAGTTGTACTAAAATTTCTATTAACATAAAATGATAAGATAGTATAACATATATCTTTTCCTTAAAAAAAAATAAATATATAAATATAAAAAGAGTTTTTTACAAACTCTTATTAATTTAAAAAAATGTGTAGATAAAATCTAAATTGTAAAAGATAGTGCTTAATGCATATATATGCATTATTATTGTTTATCTTCCATTAATGCTGATAACCTTTCTTCATATTTTTCAGCAAACTTACTATCTATATTCTTAATAGCTGCCAATAAGGAATCCTTCTCATTTTGAGACCAATTGCTACTCCACTCTTTAAAAAGCTTGACACGACACTGGAACAAGCTTGGAGGTCTATCAGACCCTTCACAATCCAGTTTTTCCATTCCAGAAACTAATCCATTTACAAGCCCTGGAGGGCCACAGTTTTCCAGCAATATTCCCAGAAAATCATTCCGTTGCATTTCAGACCATTCTTGGAACCATTCTATCATGTAACGTAGTTGAGCTTCATTTGATAACATGGTAGACATGTTGCGTGCTTAAAAAAAAATACATAGACATTAATAGTCAGCTGGAAATTTTAACAAGGAAAGAATATATAGACTTTATATAATTGTATTTTATATTAATTTAAGATGTAGATAAAAACAAGAAATTTATAAATGCTTTTAGCAGTTTTCGGGAAAATATAAATGTTATTGTTATATTTTTATATATTTTGTGAGATAAAAATATAACATACATTTATAAATATGTATATATTTATTTAAAAAATATATATATTTTTTATTACACATTTAACACTATAAATAGATCTCTGTAATTAAATAAAGCAGACGATTTACTGAAAAAGAGCCGAGTAAGTATACAATTTCCATAAATAAGTAAATAAAGAAAAAAAGGAAATGAAAATTTTGCCAGGTTAGGGATGTTACTTGACGTATAAACGCAACGAAAGTCGAGAAACAAATAGCTTGTCCAGACGATCGACGTAACATTTGCGGAAAATGACAAATTACCAAATTGTGTCTCGGCCTGGGCAAACTCGTCGGCGTGCACCGTCGTCGTCGTTTCGCTTGACAATGTATCGTTCTCGCTAAGAAGTTATCAGGGTTTTAGCCATTTTATCGTCGAACACGACGGTGATCCTGTAAAAATGCCGCGCTCTGGAACGAAACAAGTGGAAATACGGAGATACGGATAGTGGCGTTCGAACTCCTCGTTATAAAACATCGAAAAGTAATATTTATTAACACACAGAGTATACAGAAAATCAACAACTACTACATCGACAACTTGCATTTTTTGGGATTAACCTCTTCTTCCTCCACGATGGAGTCCCGTGCGATATCCGAGGAAATTGATCGACTCGTCGTCTCTACGCAAAACGAGCGAATTATGGATTACATGAAGGCGAAGGAAAAAAAAAAGATTAATTCGATATCTTTATTCGTGTCTGTAATCGAATTACTTTGTTCTCCGCTAATCGTGTCTTGCTGCTGAATCAGTGTGGTTAAAAAAACATTGACTTTCGATTGCACGTCTCGTAGATGCTGCAGCAACGTTCTCAGGTCATTTTCATTAGATTGGATAACCTCGTGTTCATAGATACATACTCCCTCATCGTATATCTTCACCCCTACACCGGTAGCATTCATCGTGCTCCGAAAAAATTTTGGAATTTCGTGTGCACGACGCAAGTTTTCAACGCACTGAAGTAGATTCTTAACATTCATTGGTGGAAATTGCGCGCGTTAATCAACTCTTTTTTTTAAAGTCGAGGAAAACTATATATAAATTTAAATTCGTAAAATTTATTATCTTTGTCAATAAAACAAATTTAGATACATGACGATCACAATTAATATACATATTATTTAAATACATGTTACTTATAGCTATATTACATTTAATATTATAATTTTAAAACATTTAACACACTCATTATTTATATGAATATGTATATTACTTATACTTAATCAATTTCTTAAAATATTTATTACTATATATTTAACATATAATATAGTTTACTTGAAAATAAAATTCAAATGTGTATTACTAGTAAATTATAAGATACTGAATTAAAATAGTGATAATACAATGTTTTATAAATGACAATTTTCAAATAAAGATTGCAAATAATCTTTATGCTCGAGTTGCTATGGTCAATTATTCTTACAAAGATTTCTAAATTCTTCTGATAAATATGTTATGTCTTCAGCAGTTACCTCCCTTAAATTCAAAAGATCTTTTATTTTTTGACTCGTCTCTTGTAAATTTTTACTCTCGAGAAGAGGACAAAATTCAGTGTTTAAAAATAATAAAATACTTTGAGTATTAAAATCAAGAAATCGATAATATATCTAAAACAAAAACAGTTATATATAAAAATATTTCATATGATCTATAATTGCATGATTATTTCTATATTATTAAGGCACATGTGTGTTTAGTATAAATTCATATATATGTGTATGTATGTATGTATATTTAAAATTCTAAAAAAATTCAGGATTTTATAAGATATAAATAGAAATGATTTTTTACTTGTCAATTTTAATAACACAAAAATGATATGACATTTGTTTTTATTATTTATAATATTAATGTCAAAACAAAGAAGTTCTTTTTTTTGTTCACAAATATTTTAGAAGAAAAAATAATATTATTTTGCTTTGATACAAGTGAAAGAGTCCACAATCTGTGGTGTAAAGAACAAAAGATATATTTAAAATACTTTACACTTTTTGTAATAGAACGAGAATTTCAAAATGAGAATCTGTAAAATAATTTTTTATTTATATATTACATACAATAAGTATGTAAACAAGCAAATTATTTTATCAAAACCGAAAATTTACTTTCAAAACAGATTTTTTGATTCACGTTTTTGATGCATTTTTTTACTTGACTTTGTAAAATTTATTCTATAAATCTTGAACTTTTTTTTTAATATTCTATACACACATGTAAAATTATACTGTATATTTAAATACAAACCTTGAACTTTTTATTTGTTGGATCTATCATAAGAGCTTTTAAAAAATATTCTGCTGCATTTGTTATGTCTTCATGGAGAGAATAATAAGTAATTGCAATTGCTAACAACATGGAAATTCGTCGCTCTTTGATTAGATGATCATATTTTTTGATCATTCGTAATAAATGTGGCAATGGCTCTAGCTCTCCTGTTTCCCAACCATATTGTACATAAGCAATTTCTGCTACAAAATTATTACAGTCAGCAGCCTTTTTAAAATATTTTATCGCTTCCTAAAAATACATCATATATATATATATATATATATATATATATATATATATATATATATATATATACATTAAATTACACACACCCACACACACACACACACATATATATACACATATTAAAAATATTTGTTTGCAAAGAAAAACCATTTAGTATTAGAAATCGCTAAACTAATGGAATATTAATAAATAAAATTAATAAATAAAATTTCTGAAATGTTTAAAAAATTTTAATAATAAAGGATATTAACAGAAGCAAATATAAGTTATATAATATAGGTATATATTATACAAGAATTTTTATTTCAATAACAATTAAATCAAATCTTATGTAGAATTCATTTTAGCATTCTAAAGAAATATATGGATATATATTCATACTAATATATACCTATTTCTCTAAATTTAGTATTATCTTTTATCAATTTTTTTAGCAATAATATTATAATATCATTTTATTGTTATTAAACTGACTTATCCTCATTTAATTATTATACTGACCCTATAATCCCCGCATTTTTCGTATAACATTCCAGTATAGTGTAGATATGTCGAGTTATTTGGTGCAATTTCCTTTATAGAATCTAAACATTCTTTTGCTAACAATGTTTCATCTGAGGTACGTGTGCGTAGAAACATAAGAGCTAGTTTTAGCAGAACTTTACAATTCGTTGGTTTAGATTTAACCATTTTCTTAGCTATGTCTAGTACTTGTTTTTCATTAGTAGCCTTTTTTATTGCATAATTTCTATCTTTGACAAATTTATAAAAAGTCTCCATACGCATTTGTAAATAATAAATTCCAAATACTTCATTTTTAGAAATAGCATATGCTATTTCAAAATGATTCTTTTCTGCATCTGATACTTCAGATGAAATATTTATTGAACGTCTTTGACGCCTGAGATTCTTTCCAAGAATAAAGTGCCACAATGCACAGTCTTGATCTTTTTCTATTGCTTTCTTAGCCATATCAATTGCTTTATTCATACCAAAGTCATTTAAGCATGACCATATAATGCTTTCACATCCATATAAAGCACCTAATTCTTCATTAGTAAAATCGTCTGTATTAATAATATTTTCTAATATCTCTTCTAATTGATCATTTTCTTCAGAATCATACAAGACAAAACATTTAGTTGCATAGAAAACATGTTCAATTCCTCTTAGTGTTCGACGTGATTCTTGTCTACAATAATTCTTAATGTAATAATGATAAAATAATCAAGCAATTTTAAAATGTTAATAAACATCATATATCATACCCTTGTTGAATCTGCATTAAAACAGTTTCAGCTTCTGTAATAATTTTTTTTGCTTTATCATTATCTGCACTTGATACAGCTTTATAACATTTAAACAAAGATTTCATCAATAATTCTAAAGGACAAGATGCATCATTATCAGTTGCATCATTTTCACACTCTATATTATTGTTATCAATATACATTATACTGTGTTTTACTACACTGTTTTGTATTTCCCAAGTAAATGGACAGTGTAATTTTGACAGTTTTACTTTTGTACTCATTTCTTCTTGTTCATGAGATGCCATCTTCTTGATAAAATCAATCTATTATAAAAATTTATCTGTTCATAAAATACTCAAAGAATTCCTATATTAAAAGTATAAAAATTACTTCTTGATAAACAATACTGATTAAAACAATTTGTCGGTTTTAATTGCAAATATTATACTTTGTTTTTACTTTGTTTTGTCCTATTTCAAGTTGAAAGAAAATAAAATATATCTTATTCACTTCAAAACCAGAAATACAGAGGAAATAAATTTAATATTTATGATCTATTATGATACAATCTCATTAAACAGTAGCAATATTGCAATATATAAAAAATAATACGAACCTTTTACTTTGATATATATTCTTTATTCTTTAATGGATTTTCGTTTTTCAAGGAACGTAGTGCTACGTTTCTATCGATATATTAATTATAATCCTTATCGTTTCTGAAGACGAATATTAATAACGATAAGAATTTTGCGGGAATTCCCGAGTCTCCTTTGTTTTTCTTTTTATTCTTTTTAGTTCACACATCGATCTTGGAGACCTCGCGTGATGATACTACGAAGCTAATTAAAGGTTGACATTTGACCAATCAGAAACAAGAACTTTTAGATCCTTTTATTCTGATTAGTCAAATTTCAATCTTTAATTTTCAATTTTCAATGTGTAGTCTAAAGGCGCGTTTTCGTTTCCATGGTCGCTGCCATGGTCTCGAAGATGATAGTGCGATTGTGGTAGGTTGTTTGGCGCGAAGTGCGAAAAGAGAATGAATGTAACGGGTCACCCACTCTTCATTAGCAATTATTCCTATTTTGAAATGAGTTATTCTATCCTTCAAAAAGGAAAGGACAACCCTGCTTGGGTTGTAATTGACGTGATGACGTTTAATAAACTTTATTCCTTTCAATAGATGCTTTTTAGCAAGAGAAACAGTTGACATGGTGTAATACTATGAAGAATTCCATCTTTCTTTACATTTGACAAACAACAAGAATGAAATTATTCATAAAGTGTTATGCTGTGTCACAATTTTTTTCCATCAGTCTATTCTATAAATTAATTAGGCTTTGATCTCATTTCCCTCGCATTAAAATTATCTCTTCCAACGAAACAAAAAATGCTTCTATTCTTTTCGGTTGATTTTCTCTAATTTATATAAACATTTTTTATTAAATCGCACTTTTTCATGAACGCATCTAATAATAAGACCAATCTCGAAAATTATGTAGACTTGGTTATTCTCTCAAAATTCAAAAATTTTTTAAAACTTCATTTTTCCTCCTCGATATTCTCAGTGAAAAATTTATAACGCTTCTTCATTCTCTAGAATACATTTTCTTCTCTTCTTCAGATAAAATACATCCTCATTTCATTTCTAAATCAGTCATTTTCACAGTTAATATATAAAGAAGAAAAAGTAGAGAAATCGAAAAAAATGCGAATTCGTGCTTGAATTTTTGAATAGTTTAAAACATTGGAGGTGGAAAAGAAAATATATTACAATTGCTTTAGTATCAACTTAGTAATAATAAAAAAAGAAAAAATATACACCTATTATTTGCAGATTCCAAATACTTGTAAACGGCTAAATAGAAAAGATATGTTCTGCTTTTTGTGAAAAATCTATAAACATGTTTATTGTTATGTTTGTATTTATTGTATATTCCTCTCTTATAATATGTTATTTTAGAGAAAAAAAAATATATTTTTTTCACTTTTTTTTTCTCCGCGCTTTTCTTTAAAATATTACTTATTAAGTAGTCTCGATAATTTTGCACCTAATTATACATTTTTAATAATTATTAATTTATAAGTTATAAGATAAGAAATTATTAATTTATAAGTTATAAGATAAATCAGTTTGTAAATATCTTAAAAATTATGAAAAAAATTATCTTTCTCATTCTCGCATATTCAAATATAATATACAAATATTATATTCCACTTTAATTATTTCTTAAAATCATTCAATAGGCTGCCATAACATGTGATGAGGGTTTTGAAAATACATAAAACTTGTCGTAAATAAATATTTCTATTACGCTTAGCATGAAAATATTTAAGTTGCTTTTAATGATGGGACAAATTTCCATATTTTCCAACACTTCATAAGATTTCTATCTCATGATAGAAATTTATATTTAGTGTTTCAAAAAACTTTTGATAATTTAAATATCTATAATGTACCTAAAACACAGCCCTTCTCTTTATTTATGGATATTCCAATATTTTAAAAATAAAATTTTAAAAAAAATTGATAAGAACACTAATAATCTTTAAAATATTTATTATATTTTTATTTTTGTCACACTAAGACAAAATTATCTGAAAAATTGGTTTGCACTTTCCAATTAAAAGCAAAGGGAATGTAATCAGGTACATTCTGAACTATATTAAAATAGCATTTTATCAGTCGGTTGTAGTTATTAACGATTGTGCGTCTAATAAGCTCTCTGTTAAAAAGATTGAGTTATTCATAATTGGGGCACTAATAGTATTCCTTGATCTTTTATTACTAAAGGGATAAAAACTATCAATATTTGTATAAAGAGAATAGATACCAATCTTATCAGTATCTATGGGTGAATCGCGATTATCGTTTATATTTATTTCAAGTTGATTGATGTTATTTTGTAGTAATCTAACATAAAGTTCGATATACGTTTGCCCACCATTATGAATCTCAAGTGCTGGTATCCAACGAAAATAGCATTGTGTCCAAAGTTCTAAACTAGAAATAGTATATAAAGGTTTTATAATTGTCCTATTCTCTATTTTCTTAATATCATGAGAAATAAATAAAGGATTATAAAATAACAATATATCCTGATCATTGAATTGCTCCCGCCAATCCCAAACGCTACGAAGTACAAGAGGTGTATTAGGATCCTGAAAAAGTAAGATCATAATAAAGTTGTGTGATAAATAGAATATTTTTGGCAATGAATAAGATCTAAATAAATAAACAATATTTATTACCATAGCTGCCACTGTTCGATCTCTTTCACAGTTGAAAATAAAGGTGTCAAAAATAGAAATATGTGCTGCATCCCATAATGTGGTCAAATATGTTTCCGTAAATTCAAATTCTGTTGGATATTGCTGATATGATTGCCAAACGCAATCGAGATATAAAAGAAACAATGGAGACTGTACAAAAAAATAATTTGTTAACATATAAATAATAATAAATATATTGCTTTAATCATTTTAAGAGTCTATAAAAAATAAATGATGAGTACTTTTCCTGAATTAGATTTTACAATATGTCCTAATCTATCACAAAATGGATGGCCTCCAGCAATCCACTCTTTTTGTAATAATGACTGAAAGCCGGTTATAGTACGAAAGTGAGGATCTAGTAATAGTTGTGCTAAACTTGATATAATACAGCATAAATCTCTACCAGCACCTTCTAAAAAGAGATTTATATTATTCTATTACATTTATTACAATATTCATTCCATTATTAATAAAATCCAAATTCATTACCATTATTAATAATAGAAGTTGTTTATAATACTCATTATTTTAAAATTCTACCTTGTAGGATGACAGAAATTCCTAAATTAAGATGTTCACAGACTTCTACTGCCTTTTCTAAACAATATGATATATATTTAAGCCATTTTGTATTCTCCAACAATGAATAAAAATTATTATCTTGAATCCAGAATTGTCTGATATTTTCTGAAATATATTCAGATATATACATATGTATATGCACCATATGTGTGTGTGTGTGTGCGTGTATATATTTATATATTATTATATATTACTTATATTTTATTAAAATTATATATATTATTACTTTATATATATATATAAATTGTTAAAATATATTTCAAAACTTCGAAAAAATCACACAATGCAATTGATATCTTACCTGGTGAACATAAGTTAATAAATTTACTAAAACTTGCTGCTATTAACTTTACATTAATTTCTTTATTCAATTCAATAACAACTGGCGGTATTTTTTGAGGATGACTCTTACGAACATTTTCAAACATAATATTTTCTTGTATTCTCTCTGTTATTGTTGGCAACAATTCAGACATTTTTACTAATGCTGCACCATGAGAGCTTGTCCAAGACCATACTGGTGGTCTATTATCTTGAAAATGTCGAGCTGCATCTGTTAACTGGCTATCAGTTACAGATGCAGGCACAACTATGTATTGTGATAAACTGCAAATAAATAATATATAATAAAAATTTTAAATATTAAATTTTAAAAATTAAAAATTGCTTTAAATGTTATAAATGTAATTATACAAATATATCTAATACAAAATAAACAAGCTACCTAGGACAAAGTTGAAATTTGGCATTAACCATGGATAATCTCCAACCTTTTCTTATTTCATCGCTACATAGTATTCTGTTTAATTCATTTTGCCAATCCAAAATATCTCGAAATAATTGAACATTCTTGTCAAGACTACTGTAATAAGCCTCTCTGTAATAAAAGAGAAAGAAAAATTGATATTTCAAGCTAAATATATTATATGAAATGATATTTCAAGCTAAATATATTATATGAAATTTCTTGCAAATTCTGGTGAAAATAATTTTGTAACTTTCCACAGGAAAATTATGCAAAAACTATAATTTTTTATGATGTAACAACTTTTTAGATTGTTTTTACATAATTTTTCTATTAAATTATGATTTAGGCTATGTAGTTTTTCATAAATTTACACAATTTTGTTTTTCTACAACAACATTACTTAGTTTTATTATAATCTACAACTTTTGCAACGTACTTATTTTTATCACTTATAAAAATGTGAAAAGTTGTAAACTTATAAAAATTATAAATATTTTTTAAACATTGTAACTTACCAAATGAATGTCTACAATTTTCACAAATTTGTAGGAAGTTGTGATTTGTTGTTGAAAATTTTAATTTTTTATAGAAATATACAAATTGTTGAAAAATTTTTTCCTCTAGGGAATTTTTTATTACAATTTTAATGCAATTGTATATTCTATATCTACTATATGATACTAACTTGTAATCATAGGCAAACAACAGCTGATGTCTGCTAGGAAAAGCATGATGTAGCAATGCAGTCAAGAGATTCTTACCATGTCCAATAGGTGAAAATTTAAAAGAAAAGGACCATGTCCTTAGATTCTGTAAATAACAATATATACAAGTCACATTACAACTGTAAACTACTATCTGCAGCTGATATATAGCAAAATTATTTTAATTTTATAATAATTAAACATTAAGTAAATACATAAAAAATACAAAATTTTGATATTTATATATATAAATTATTATAATTTTGATATTTATATTTTCCAGTAATGCGATATCTTAATTAAATTGAAGAATCCCTAATTGGATTCTTATATCATAAAATAAAAAAAATATTCACCTTGCAGATAATAAATATTCCTTTTACTTTCGATGGTACTGTACTTCCAGAGACTAGCTTTCGTTTTTTATCACCTATCATTATATAGATCTCATCGATATTTGTCAAACATGTATCAGTATATCCATACAAATGGTTTTGTTGATGAGTACTATCCTACAATATAAATTATTTAATATCATATAAATAATGTTTAAACATTTAGCCTTTAGTTATTAATAATTATAAAATTAATTGTTGTTACCTCATCATTTGAATCATCGCTGGTAATAAATGTAAGCTTGAAATTAGTCACTGACAAAATACCAGATGTACCTTGTTTCAAATCACTGACAGGTGAAAACATAAGGACACTTTGTGCTTCCGCAATAAGAACTTCTCCTGGTAATAGTTTTATACTATTTTCAATTAACGAATTACGTCGACTGGAGCTAAAAGTCTGCAGAAAACATTGACATTTTGTTAGAGACATTAATTTTAATTTCGTAGATTAGAAAATTTATAATAAAAGATGAACTCATAATAAAAATGTTAATTGCCAAAGATTTACATAGCTATAAATATAATTGCAATTACCTGCATCTTGTGCTCTTCCAATTCCACATAACTAATAAAATTGTTACTATTTTTATTTTCCATAATAGTTATCCAACATCGATGCCTTAATATCAATAAAAATAAAAATTTGCAGTTTTACTACGGATCATATATAGATAATAGTAACAAACAACATTGAAATAATTCTATATTTAAAGTTCTTCTTATCTTTTCCATTACCGCAACGTATGATATAATATAAGAAATAAATTATTAGTAAATATCGAAACTTTTATATGCGCACGAGTTGACATATATGAGAAAGTGTTGTAAAATATAATAAAATATAACGTAATAAGATCGCAAAGAATATAAATGTTGTATGTACGAATATAAGAATCTCCACTGCACGTAAATAAAATATCGATATGTGTGAATTGCGCAATGTGTGTAAAAATTCTTTTTATATTTTATTTTCAACCAATATCTAATAACTTTTCTATGTATGTATGTATATTTCACCACAGACTTTTGTATTTATACTAGATCGCTAACTCGGTTAAGTCTCTATGTGATAAAATGTGATGCAAGAGTAGCCATTTTTACTTGGGCAGAATGTCATACTGGATGTCATGTCTCTTGATACGACGTGATAGTGAATAAATATATTTGAAAAAATAAAACAATAAAAATTATTTATAAAATGTATACATATATATCATTATTTATTTTTCATTGAATAGAAATATCAGGAGGAGATATGAATATTAGATTCATATATATAATCCAAGATATTTCTTTTATTTTGCGGTAATAAATCAACAATAAATAAATAATTTTAAAAAAATTTTAAGAAAATTTTAATAAATAATTTAAAGAAAAGCTTTAGAAATTTTTCTTCAGTGCAAGAAAAATGTGATAAAAATGAAATAAAACTTTCACCCATCAAAATCTTGAGGGTTCTATCATGATTTGTATAGTAAAATTAAAATTAACGTAACATTTATAAATAATTTTTTATAAACGAAAATTTTTTTGTTTATATTTTAGAGATTTGCTAAACTCGTGAAACTTTTTAGTTGATTCTTGAAAAAAAATTGTCAATTTGAAATTTAAGTAAAAAGGTAGCAATTTACTTAATATATTTATTTTATCACTAAAATTTGTTTGTATACAATTTCCAAATAAAATAGCATTTTAGAATCATGTAAAGATATTTTAATTATTTTTTTTGTATTTTTTTATATATAAAAATTAATATAAATTGATGTTTTAAGGTGACAATTATTACTAAGATTTCTGAATGCCATGATTTTTTAATTTGTTACTTCTTACTCTATAAAGTTGATATAACATTTATGAATAATATTTTTTATTAGCAAGCAAAAATTTTTTTATTTATATTTCAGAGATTTGCTCAAACTCGTGGAATTTTTAATCAAGCGGCAAAGATTACATGTAATTTTTATTTATCTATTTTATTAGATTCCATTTTCCAACTATATATAATATAATGTTTGAAAATGATAATGGTTTTGTTTACCAAATCTATGAATATTATAATTTATACAATATTTGCTAACGGATTTTCAATAACAGTTTGAATAACTAAAATAGAATCAATTGAACAAATAAAATCTCAATTAATATTTATTTTAATACTTATGTTGTTAGTGATTTCCAAATAATAAGCAGCTTGAATTATATAAAAGTATTTCTCTATATATCTATAATTCTTATTTTTTTCTCATCTTATATATAATAGGAATTATGTAAAAGTATTTCTCTATATATCTATAATTCTTATTTTTTTCTCTTATATATAATAGCATCTTATATATAATAGGAATTAAAATGATGTTACAATAATCGTCAAGATTTCTAAATTATGATTATATTATGTATTAATATTCGCGCTATGTATGAAATAATAATAAAATTTTAATTTTGTAATATTTTAAAAGTTATGTGTATCCTTAGATTTCATGAGAAAATATCTTCTCTTTCAGATTTTATCTTCCGGATGCATCCTTTATCGAAGAATTTTCAGCGTCTTTTACTAAATTCATGAAATTGTATAGTTGCAAGATTCAGAAAGAGGAGAAAAGACTTTTTGTAGATAGTATAATAACAAAATATTAAAAACAAATATGTAAATAAAATCACGTGATTATAATTCAATTTTTTAATAAAAATTCTTAATCAGAATCGCGCAAACTTTTCAATTGACTTTTTACAGATTTAATATACATATGTTTAATTTAAAATAAAATTTTATTCTCGAGTTCGGTTGGAGAATTATATGAAATTTCCAATTTCTTATCAATTTCCCTTATTTCTTCTGTATTTTCAGTTTCTATTAAATTAAATGCTGTTTATGTGGTGTCGCAGAATTCATCGGTGCAGAAAAGGTGCGCTAATAGTTGTGTTTGCACGAGTAATGAATGGGCGAGCGCTTTCCTAGGCTGATTATCCTGTGGCGGCGGGTTCTCTAAAAGGACTCGCGCTCGCTATGTGCAAGCTATTTCCTCGTCAGCCCTTTTGCCCGCTCAATTCGACGAGGGAAATCGTAACGCTTCGAAATTGTGGTTCGCCTCGTTTGCGCGCTGTTAACTGCACCGCTAACGAGAGACGAGGGCGGAGATGCAGCGATCACGTTATGACGTCTTCTCGCTCTCCGTTCGACTGAATAATGTCCGAGCTCTCCGACTGTATACGAGGCTTATTAATTTAACTTGTCGTTGCGAATGTACCTCGGCGACGCCGCAATTGCTAAGGAAGCTGTGCGTCGATCGATCGCACGGAAACGCATATTAGCATGTAAATGCTGTTCGTGAATAGTAACTGCTGACCGAGTTCGGAAATGTTTAAAGTTTAATAGGAATACACCGATATATATGTATTATATTTATCAAAGATTTTCATTACGTCATCGCTTCAATTAGAAAGCTTTGATCTCATTTCAAAGCTTTAATTGCGTTTTTATCACGTTTTTCTCGCATCCAAGAAACCATCTAGAGAGAAAGAGAGAGCGTTTCTTGATCAAATTATTTATTTATTTTATTGAATTCTTTCGCAGATAAAATGATATATATATATATATATATATATATATATATATCATTTTATCTGCGAAATATATATATATATATATATAATTTTATAGTGAATATATATTATTTATTAATCGTTGAATAGAAAAATATTGAATTCATATAATCCAATGCATCTGCATTTCTTCTGCGATATAATAAATCAATGAAATAAATAAATAGTTTTATAAAGAGACGCTGAAATTTTTTTCTTCAATACAAGAAAAACGTAATAAAAAACGCAATCAAAGCTTTGAAATAAAATTAAGCTTTTTTAATTAAGGTGAGATGCAATCTACGATATGGATAATGGAAATCTTTGATATGTATATAATTTAGAATTTACGTAGTTTAGAGCAAAATTTCGAATTTTTTAAATATTCGTATATTCGAGATAGCAATGAAAAACTCGAGGCAATATTTTTTGCAACTTCTTCAGGAAAGATTCTGTAAAGAGGTTTGATGACACTTATAAAAAGTAAGATATAATATTACTAATATACATAATATAATTATATCGAACACTTTAGAAAATAAGTGGCTGATTTAAATTGCAGAGAGCTCAATGAAAGATGTTTAAATTTGAAGTTGCTCTTTTATTTATTGTGAGTTAATTAACACATATGTAAAGAAGATAAATATCATTTGTAATAAAATTTTATAGTAAAAAATAATTTATTATCCGGATGTGCCATATTTTCTGATAAATTCTGTGATAAATTCTACTGTATTATCATACACGCGTTTCTCTCTCTCTCTCTCTCTCTCTCTCTCTCCTCTCTCTCTCTCTCTCTCTCTCTCTCTCTCTCTTTATTGTACACATTTATGAATCACTCCATACATTTTTATGTTTTATATTGTGTTTCGTGGGAAAAGGGCCATAAAGTCTCCCAGGGAATTATGAGAGGTGATATATACTATTATGAAATTTCACGGGGGGATGGAAAACGTTATTCCGCGTACTAGTGTTCCGAATTACGGCGATTTCCGGCGATGGCTATCCCCGGGAATTCGCGGACCCGTTGAAATTATGCCAATTAGTGCAATTAAAATTGGTCCGCGACTAATTTGAATTTACAAATCGTCATTACGACCGCGTGAGCGCACGCGGATGTCGTTTACGAGCAAACGTACAAATCAATACATTTGTTTTTGATAAATAAAAAATCAAGATACTCTGCAAAAGAATGGAAAATTTTATGCGGTAAAGAGAGTTCCCCCAGAGGATCGATCTTCCCCTCGAGGCTAATACGAAGGTTAACAACGTTCAAATATACTATATGAAGCGAAGACTAAGATCGCTAAAATGATCATCCACGGAGGAAAAAGTAAAAGAACCAGACGAAGAGAGGAGAGACTGGCAAGTGCGGAGAGTTTCTCCACCCCGTTCCTCTCGTTGGCGAAAAAAGAGAGGTCGGCTCATGAATAATGCGGGGGTGAAAGCCGGCTGAAACAATTGCCGGGCGTCGCTCTACTCCAGAAATTACATCGTCAGATTTTCCGCGAAATTAAAACATTATACCGGGTGCCCGAGGTGTTCTCGCTGACCGCACATTTTTCCCAGAATTTCTTCATCCCTTGTTTTCTAATTTTTTATGCTTCTATAATTATAAGCGTCCAGTACATAAAAGTAGAGATATAATGTTTAATTAACACTGTGTTCGTTAAATGCCGAATAAGAAATATAATCTTTTTCCACTCACTTTTGAAACTTTAATTCAACAAATTTTTTTTTATTTTTAAACTCTCATAATTCATAATTATGAATGTTTCAATATTGAAGCAAATCAGATATTTCTTTCGGTATCTTATTCTTTAAATTATGCCAAAATATTCGCATTTTTTCCATTTTTTTATTGACATAAAATGCAAGGAGACACCGTGTACATTTCGTTCCCATCTACGGCCACTCGTCTTCCTGTCTCTTCTTCTCGCAGTCCTTTTCTAGTTACGCGCGATACGTCCGCTCATCCCGAGGAAAAAATCGCCGATTATGCGATTTGACTGACGGCGATACGAGGACACTTTTCCTTCAGGATTTAGTGGCTCATTCTTGCCGACGAGGATGAAATTGCGAGGCTGGCTCGCGCCGAGCAAGACTACCGGGCAATTTCTAGCATAATGTTGACCTGGTTATTAAATATGTCCTTACACATGGCGTCCCTATCGTTTCTAGGGAACATGCTATCGAGAACCGAAAATACATATCGCGGAATAAATCCAAACATGCGAAATATTAAGAATCATATTTTTTCTCCAGATTTAATTTTTTGATATTTACTTTCGTATTTTTCCAATTCAATCTCATAAAAAGAAAAATTCAGAAATATTTAGAAAGATTCAGAAATATAATCCACCAATTTCGATGAATTCGCTCTTCCAAGCATATCGATATCTCTTT